ACTTTGTAATGTCAGACTTTGCTTCTTTTCAGGCATTTATATTAATGTCTGATAGTTATTTTAAGTAGGCATATAATCTTTTATTTTTATTTTTTATTCGAGTTTTATGACCTTGGGCTTTTGGTTATCCAGTATGGTTTCAAAGACGAATTTGTTAAAGACATACCCATGGCTTAAAGATGCTATATATATATATATATATATATATATATATATATGAAGTCTATTTATTATAGATTTATTAAGTGGATAAATCTTTTCTCTTACAGTGTCCCTGCAACGCCAGTGCTAAGATGAGATTTATCAGCAGTGAAATTCCGGGCAAGCCCGAAGTCTGCAATCTTTGGAGTAAAATCTTTGTCGAGAAGAATGTTGCTGCTTTTAATGTCCCTGTGGATTATTCTTTTTTCTGAACCTCCATGAAGATATGCAAGCCCCCCAGCAATTCCAATTATGATTTTAAGCCGCTTCTCCCAGTTTAGAAGTTTTTTTTTTGTTGCTCTCTGCAACCGAAGGAAGAATTAGAATCATTACAGCCACAGATTTCCCATTTAGAAGAGTCCCCATGTACACAGAACCTGCACCTCCTTGGCGTAATTCTTTGAAGCACTGAAATAATCTGTCGCCTTCTCGAGGCTCTCATATGTGAAACTCAAGCAATAATTCTTCATCTTTTTTATTCTTGTATAGCTTGCATAAGCTGCAAAGAGAAAGACCATAATGAATGCTGCTGTTGCCAAAGAAATGGCTATGGCGATTCCGAGACCAGAAATTGCAAAACATGATAAAGTGCTTAGATCTTCGAGATCAACCAGATGAAATGAATTATATTTGTGCTGTAACAGTGAAGAATACAAGATCCTTAAATCCACACTTGTAACGGGCAGGAACACAGGCATCAAAAGACAGTAATAAGATGTTTGGTTGCTGAGTAAATCATGGAAAATAAATTAAGATTTGCAAGTGATTATTCAGGTTCTAATGCAGACAATTTCGGTCAATTAACTTAAAATTCAAAACTCTGCCTTCTCCCCTGCATTCTCAAACACCCAAATAACCAAAGAAAATACCAAAATATTCTAAATCAAAACTAAAAAATTTCAGGGAAATTATTATAGAATTCATCACTAATACTCCCATTGCTATATTTCTTGTCATTTTTCTCTTGTTTAATTTCTTTAAGTAATGTTATACTTACAACTGAGTCATACAATCAGGCAAAAAACAAGGATAGAGTAGCTATTTTATATAAATTTTGTACAATTTTTATCTGGTTATATAATTCGATTGTATGGTTTAGTTGTAAACAAAACATTATTGAATTTCTTTTTTCCTTTTTTGTTATTTCCTTGTGTGTTTGGGCTTTTGAAACAGGTTAATCTTTCAATGGTAATTAATATTTTTTAATGTCTTTATTTTTTTTAATTTTTACTTTATATAATAAAATGGATTTACATTTATACCCTTTATAAAGCTATATTTTAAACGGTCTTATATCGTTAAGTGTCATATTTTTGTCATTTAATAAACTTATGTCCCTTCTTAATTGTTTTTATAAACACAATATCCCTTTGTATGAAAGTCTTTCTTTTGAACACTCAAGAGTAGTTGATTGAAAAGGAAGAACGACATTTTCCCACCCGTCAAGTTTCAAAATGACACTTTCCCATCCTCCGTCAAGTTCTATTAATATTTGACTAAAAAGACGAAAATATCCTTAAAGAGTTTATTTCTTAATTAGTTTATTATAAATTAAACTTTTGTTAAGTCAAATTCTTTACTCGACTATTTATTAGTTTAAGTGCAAAGATACATTTTTTTCTTTGTTTATTTAATTAATTAGGAATATTGATTTTCTATGTTAATTAGTAAAAATGAAAAACATTATAAATTTTGTAGATTATTGAATAATAATGATAGAATATTGATGACATTATAAATAAATAAATATTAAGGTTATTTAACTTTAAACAATTTTATAGCATTGCTCCTAACTTTTTAGATAGGGTTTAAATATTTTTCTTTTTTGACTTTTTAGTTAATTAAAAAATAATAAAAATTTATTAAGTCAAATATGTAAGGGTATTTTTGTCTTTTTAATAAAATATTAACGAAAAACATAACAGAACTTAACGAATAGTGAAAAAGTGTTGTTTTGCCGAACCTTGGGTGAGAAAAGTCGTTCTCCCGATTGAAAACATATTGAGTTTCCCATTTATGTAACTTTTAATATGCTAATTTAAGTAGTCACTTAGAGATGGCAATGGGCCCGACATTTTCGGGTACCCGGCCCGAAAGGGGCGGGCTTTACCCGAGGTTGGCGGGCTTGGGCTTGGGCCTGGGCTTAATTTTAAAGCCCGACCTCGGGTACGGGCCGGGCATAGGTATATCTTTAGGCCCGACCCGGCCCGGAAATTTTAGTATTAATTTTACTAATTTACCCTTATACTATATATTTAATTACAATATTATATATATATATATCCATTTTTCCCAAACCCTAACCTCAATTTTCATCCCATATTAAAGGTTTAACATGTTAAAATTGCCTTTAAATGAGTTAGATGGGTTTGGTTCAACTTACTAAAGTGGATTTCACCATAACATATTATGCACAGCTGAAAAGTTAGTATAATCAACTATTATGGAGTTTTAATTGCTCACTTATTGCTTAAATTATTTGTGGAAATAGCTTCAATTAATATTTAAAAACCATTTCTAAAATTAAAAATATAAAAAAATTTGAAATTTATTAATATTTAAAAATAAACATTATTAAAAAAGGCGGGCTTGGGCCGGGCCTGTGGTTATAAAAAACCCGTCGGGCCGGGTTTGGGCTTTGCCTATCATACCCGTAGCGGGCTCGGGCCGGGCTTGGGCATGTGTCATGAGGTCGGGCTTGGGCCTGGGCCAAGGGATACCCGGTCCCGGCCCGGCCCATTGCCATCACTATAGTCACTCCTAGGCCTGGGCCTGGGGTGGCCGTGGCGTCATTGTATATATATGTCTCGAGTCAAACTTACCTCAATAAAAAATAAATCCAAAATTCCTAGTGAAGAGGCTTATTACATACGGGCGAGTCTATTTATGGGTTGGTATGTGTCTTTGCGTGTCTGTTTGTTTCTATTAATTGTCTTGTAAAAATCTTTCATTATGCTATAATCAAAGTCGGACCAATCAATCTTATTAGGCCCAATAATTATTATATCAAATTATAAATTCAAAATTACAAACTCCGTTACTTTGTAAAGATAGATTTTCAAAAGTCAAACCAACTTACTTTAAATATTATGAAATATAAATATAAATGTATTCATATTACTTTTTCTACAAAAGTTTTTATTAGCCCCCTACTTTTTAATTTTATTTTATATTAGTCTCGACTTCTGATTCCGATTCCTAACTAACTAGAATCAAAATTGCACAGTAAGGTTTCAAAAATTTAGAATCAGAATCTACCTATTGATAGCTGATTTTGGATAAGAACCAGAACTAAACTCTGAGCACACGTCGATTCTAATTCTAATAGGTTCTTTTTAACACCCTGAATTGACAATTGTGCCTTGAGTACATGTCAAAAAGTGCACCTTCAAGCGGGTGACATCAAGTTCCCACTTCGGTCGGAAAAGGCCATATCGGTGCACGACCGGCAAGATCTAGTCGGTCATACGTCGATACGACCACTCCGGCCACCCTCTGATGGTGGTGGCCGGTTGTCATATTTTTTGAGTGGATTGGGGATGTTTTTGTTAACTTTTAATGTTTTATTATAGAGGTGTTTAGTAAATAAATAAATATAGGGGATATTTTTATTAATTTTCAAATCCTACATCGTAATTCAACTTTTTTTAACTTTTGTCATAAAACTTTTCTAAAAAGTATAAAAAAGTGAACCAAACAGAGCCTTATAGATCCCAAAATAATAACAATCTAGGTTTTTGAAATAGGAGAGGGAATGGAAATAGAAATTATATATGTTATAATGAAAAATTCTTACAAATAATAAACATTAAACATAAAAAATTCGGACCTTCCAATACTGAGAGAGGGTTATCCCAACAATCTAAATATATTTGATAAAATAATTTCGAAACTCCTTCCCAAACACATGGAAAGAATCTGTCCGACCTTCCAATAACAATAAATAATTTGTTTTATTGCTCTATATTTCAGAAGGACCAATCGAGTACTTGTTTTTCTGATGAGTGATGACTATCTTATTCATGGAAACTCTTAATTATGCTTTCACCATGACCATTCGAGAAAAAGGTGTTGAGAGTTCTACAAGAAATTAAGTTACGAGTCCAGAAATTGAGAAATATGTTATTCTTATGCCGAGAAAATGAAGACATCTATAACTGAACATCTTTTCTTCCCCAGTTCAGTATAGCTTCAGGTTAATAAGTGGAAAATTCCAGGTTGATTTTCTGTATATCTATTCTTACGGGAACAGGTTTTATGAAAATTTGTTGCTTTGGTTTGGTGGGTCTGTTGGTGATTCAGCAAGAAAGAAACAACTTTATAAATGTTTTCAAAGGAAGAAGAAAGAAAGTAAATTGTTTGCCGCGTTAACTTGGATTTACAATGAATTATCTTTGTGTGGGTTCCAACGTTGTATTACAACTGGCCAACGGCCGCCGGCAGGATCTGGGATTGTCGGTTAGCTTTTCCACGCACCAAATACATCTGCACACCAATTGTTCGATGAATTACCACAAAGGGATGGATGAATTACCTCAAAGATTATTTGTGATAGGGGTATTTGGTTTTAAAATTCAGTAACTTTAACAGTTCTATCAGATCTGAATGAAAGAACAAGACGATCATCAAGGTGAAGCTGTCATACAGAAGGATTAGTTTCCAGAATTCTGAAAAACCATGAAACTTATTGAAAGTGACATAGATTAAAGGGAATCAGCCAAGATGCCTGTAGTGCCCTGAATATTTTAGGCATGAATCATAAAAGAGAATAATATAGATTTCAACTAGGCCCAGAACCACAAAATTTTAATCAAACCCAAGTCAGAAATCTAAAAATCCCAGAACTATTAATAAAATTTTACACTTTCATGCAAAAAATAACCTGTTGGTTGTTTTATATCTTTATTTGTTGCTCTGTCATGAAATGTAGTTTGTTACATTGAGCAATGAGCATAATTTTATACTTCTCAATTCTCATACAAAACTTGGCCTATTATTAGAAGACCAGGCATGTAAACCACAAGAACTGACCGATCTATTGTTTTTCAACCACGGTCTCAGGCCTGCTTACTGGTGAGACACTGTTGGTTGTGTTCGCTTCGACGATGTGACATTCGGTAAAGCGTTGCCAGCCACTGAACTCCATTTCTTGGGTAGACCTTCGCGAGTTCCTTCTTGAATGATGGCGGCGCCAAGCATCTTGTATGATTCGAGCTGCCTGAGTCATCAAGTGATTCAAGTTCAATCCAGAAGAGCTGGAAAGCTGGTGCTTAATGAACACATTTTTCAAGTCATCCGCCATAATAGTGAAAGCTTCAACTTTTGTAAGTGCTTGAATAGTTCTAGTTGAAATAGGGAGGTTGGATAAAGAGGGATAACCCAGAGCCCAGGCAACAAGTTCCTCACCACAGAAGTCTCCATCTTGAAGAAAATGTTTTTTCCTTCTGTTACCATCATTATCTCCGAGATTATCAGTGTTCAAAGAGGCAGAACCTGTTGTTCTATCCTTGGAATTGTATGTCCATATTTTTCCTTGCACAACAAAGAACATTTCATCAATTGGGTCTCCCTCTCGAATAATGTGAGTCCGCTTAATGTAGAAAGCTGGCTTTACACAATCACACAATGAGTCTAATGTTGCTTCATTTAACTTCTTAAACTCCTCTACCTTGATAAACATTCAAGAATAAGAATGAGATAACTTAACTATTATTACTGTAGATTGAATTCTAAAGGTGAATTACATCTACTGTGACAAAGGAACTCACTTTCTTTAGAAGGTCTAAGCAGAGTTCGCGTTTTATGTTCCTTCTGAGGACCTTGGGAAGATTATTGAGCAAATTTTCTACATCAACGCCACTGGTTTCTCGCCATAAGTATCTCTGGTATTTCTTAACTTGGTCTTGGAGATTCCCAGAGAGCTTTCGGAAGGGCATCCATTGGTCTATCTCTAGCCCTTTTATTCTCATCTCTTCTGATCTTGCAGTCCTGGACTGCAGATATATCTGTTCCAAAGGAACCATATTTTATAGAAATTAAACTTGACCATGCTTCATCTTAAGCATATAAAAAATAATGGAGAGATAAAAAGAAGAAAAAATATATACCAACCTGCATATTACCAATGAGAAAGAGAAACAACACCAAGCCAGAGATGGTAATTGAAATTGCAAATAAGTTATCCAAAGCATAAGTACTAGCTGGAAGATTTTGACCAAAAGAACTGCCAAAAAATGAATATAGTTGTAAAATGTCAAGCATTAATTAAAACAAAAAACAAAAAAACTTCACCGTCCCAAAAATAAGAAAAGTATATATCATATAAAACAAACCTAAGGTTTTGCAGGCCCCAACGGAAACAATGCAAGAACTTTTGGGGAAAATCTGTCACCTCGACTATACCAAACTGAAGAGCATCGTGAAATATTCCAAAATCATATAAAGTTGTATTTTGAGTTTTTGTAGGGCAAAAATCATTTAGAAATGAGTAGTCTCCTAAATTGTCATCACAGTAAAAAGAACCATAATGGCATCTGGTACGATTTATGCAAGCTTTACTCCAGCATACAGTCTCTCTGTCTATGGCAAAAAAGTACCATAAGGCTCCAAATACCTAAAAGACCAGCAAGTCACTCATTGATCAGAACGATATGCCAAATTGATAAACAATTGTATGCCCAGTACAATATATTAATTTCTGCCTCGACTAAAACTTGGTAAAGCATTTGCAATTAAATGCAACAAGAAGCTAAAGACATTAAGAATCATGCGAGCAATAGGTAAAATTCAACTTACATGACCAGCAAACATGTAGAGAAGAAGATTGAATGCAGCTTTGAGCCATGTAGCTCCAGCAAGTTTGCCTGAAGTCCTTGTAGCTTTGGTAAACAATGGGTAAATTCTGATAAGCCTGGGCACATATTGAAAAAGAACAGAAAATTTCAACAACTTCATTGCAATAAAAGATTCAGAGCCTCTAATTGTTGGAACTATAATTAAGATCACAACCTGGGCAGAACATTAGCAAATTTAGAGTTCATTAAAGATACTGGTTGCAAACTTGCAATCTTGAACTATAATTAATGACCATTTTAAATATCCAACAAGTTAGCGTAGAAAATAACTCATGTAATCCTCATCACATAGAAAACTTAATCTATAACACATTCTGCTTTACCTGTGGTAGGGGAAGAATGGCGAGAAGTTCCACTAGGAAGAAGCAAAGGGAACGTTTCCTTGCATTTTTTTGTGAATTATCTCCTCCACAGTTTGACCAAGGAGCAAAAAGGTTCCTAGGCATGCGGATGATATAAATTATATAAAAGAAGTCAAAGACAGAACGCAAAACACTAGCTGTAATCCCCAATGTTTTGTCTAATCCAATGCATTTTTTAAGATCATTGATCACGGGAATGTAAAAAAACAGAGGATCCAATAAGCTTGCAATCACACACAAACTAAGACAAATCCACTTCCCGAATGGCCCCTGTGGATCAAGGATTTTCTTCACACAAAGCAAGTGTTTGACCACCATATTCTGATGTCTAGATTTTGGTAGTTCTCTAATTCTCCTAGACCCTGGAATTTCAGCATCAGAATTTGGCCCTCTTTGGAACTCCCCTGAGACTGTTCTATTTCTAAGTTCTCCAGAATATTTTCTTGCTGTACCTTCCTCTAAATTCAAGTCCACAGACCTGAACAAAGCATAAAGTCAGTTTGAAGCTCAGTTTCTGGCTTTATCCATATGCATTAATCATTAAAAGAACATTGCCATTAAAGAATTAAAATAAATAAATAAATAAAAAGCTTTTTAAAGAGCTCAATCAAAGGCTTAATACAGAATTTACTCTTCTTTAATAGTCCAGAACTTGGCCAAGAAAATGTGATCTAGAACTAAAATGGCAGTTTCAAGTACATTATGGAGCAATATAATAAACAATCACTTACATGTTAAAAAATGTTGAAGAAGAAAACTTTTGATTTCTACAAATTTGGCTTGGCAAACTTCCTCATATAGTAAATTTATGAACAAAATTTTAGGGTGGGTTTAGGTTTCTTGGAGGGGTAATGGTCCTCCAAATGGTATTGTAGGCCAAAGACTTTTCTTAAGTCATAAAGGAGAAAGGGTGCAGCAATCACTGTGTCGTCATTTAATGTCTAACGTTATTGATAAGCATGCGACTAAAACTGACAGTACTGTTCCCTTTTTAGCAAAGTTGTTTAAGTGCTTGCTTTGGAAAAATCCTTAGCGTTTGTTATTGATAACAGAGTTTTCTTGACTCTTATTCTGAGTAATAACCAAAACCACCAGTGTCTGAACAGTTTAGAGTTCATAATTGGCAAAAAAATTTCTTTAGCCCGAGCTCATGAGCATTCAATAAATGGGGACTTACCTCATCAACCGATATGATTTGCACGCATCTTAGTTGGAAAGATTTTCTCACATAACTGATATGAAATTATACGTATACAAGACCATGTTTAATTTGAAGTAAGTAGATATATACTCCTAATGATTATGACTAATGCAAATATAGAGCAGGTACTTTATAAGTTAAGAGCATGTAGAAAGTACAAGATTCCGCCTTTACTTGATGGAACCTGAGAGAAAGGGCCGAAGCGTCAATTTGGCGTTACAACACAGTTTCCTCTCTTTTCATGCAGTGAGAGATACGCAAGATTAAGAAATTTCTTGACACTTAGTTTGCCCCAGCTGTACCTTCCTCTACACTCAAGACAGAATCCTGAACAAAAACATGAAAGATGATCAATTTATGCCTGTGTCCATATGCATTCTCTAAACGTGTCAATCACGCTATAAAATGTACAAAATAGCTCACCTAAAGGCTACCTACAAGGTCTTCACCATTCTTCAACTGGTGCAAAATTACCGAATTCCATGAATACCATTTAGCAATACGCTAATTAAATAACTTATTTGATATAAACTTAAAAATTCTAGTAGAAGTTAACTGTGGATGTCTGCAAACAGACCCAGGTTTTGGGTTTATAAACAGAATTAGTGACTCGACCTTGTGCATTAACATTTAAAGTTAGATATTCTGATTTTTCAGCACTTACCATTAGAGTCAAACTCAGTGCAATAAAGTTTATTGTATCCTCAAGGACAACAATCCCTTCAAAGAAGTCGCAGGTTGTGTGTTTTACGGGGCACTGGGGCTCACTGGATACAAGGACAACAATCCCTTCAAAGAAGTTGCAATTTGTGTGTTTTACGGGTCACTGGGGCTCACAGAGTTAACACTGCAACCACCGTTGGGGTATTTGTCCCGACAAGCCTGGCCGGGTGATTTTTCCGACGCAAAAGAGAAATCTTGTGTCCGAAAAGACAACATTTCCGGTGGTGTTTGCAAAAAAAGTTTACTTCAGGATCCTGTATAATTATAGAACTGTTAGGTCATTTATGTTGGAGATGAACTTATATTTAGACACCATTCACAGCATGAGCTTATTTACATGAAAGCACAAAATAGGATACTAGAAATTCCGAATATCGTCTATATGGATAGTCATATATACATCAGCTCACCAAAATTTTAAATGAAAAATGCCAACACTAATATAACATAACATATCATACATGCTAAATAAACATATTTTGATCTCAATTTTACAAGGCAATCCTATCTAGTTTTGAGTTTAAACAAAAACATATTACTGGTCAGCTAAGAATTTAATAAAATACTTTGTAAGCAATTCCCTAAATACCTTATTTGAGGACTTAATGAACAAATACCATATAAAAGCAAGAAAGGTAAGTGTACTCAAATATTGTTGTAACCTCTAGAATACCAAACTGAAGAGCATCACCGAGTATTCTGAAATCATAGAACTCATAGAACGTTTTTGTTAACATGATTGATATCTTTCTAGAAACATGTGGCAAGTGACCTGAAGCTAGCGACCAAATGAGCTAGATGAGTAAAGCTGCGATGTGAAGCAAATGTTCTCTAAGTATGTGTCGGAGGGTAATGTGATCCGGAAACAATACAGGAAAGTGTCCAAGCAACCTAATCAGAAGCATGAAGTGACTTGTCAGAAGGAATGTCAGAGCCATCATTGTTAAATGTCAGAAGACGGTCAATTATCTTGTAGGGTTTAGATGTTTTTATAGATAAGACTACCAAATGTCAAACTGGTTAGGAATGTTTGGGTCAAAATTTTGACAACATGTAAAAGTGACTTAGCGTGTTAAATTTGTCTGTAATCTAGGATTAGCATTTAATACTCTACAGAACAGGCGTTTAAAAGACACATTCAATGATGTGTTTAAGCTATATATAATCAATGTTTGAATTAATGTCGAGTCAGTCTGGTGTGAATTTTTAACAGAAGAGTGAAATTATATTAACTATATTACCTAACACAGAAAGGCTTCAAGGAATTCTACTAAACTAGGCCTCAAGTAATTTCTAAGAGTTCTTCTTCAGGAAGAAGAACAATTTTTCTAAGTGATCTTCTGCATCTATATTCTGCCACAATATGCTTCCCAGGGAAACCAACCTGAAACTCTCGGAAAACAAGGCGAAGGCCAAACTTGACAAATTTGAAGCCATAGAAACCATTGAGATTACGAAGTAAAACCTGCGAAGTGTTGCAAGCTGTGGCTTGTTCCTTATCAATGACACACCAAAAGCACCAGTGAAGCAGAACATGACGAAAATCATAAGAGCATCAAAACCACATGGTTTACGAATGGTTTCTTGATTATTATGGTAAAGTAGCCGTAGAAGAGAAGCAACAAGTACGGAAAAGCACAGATTATAATTTTCCCTGTTGTTCATTTGGATTTCTTTGCTTGAAATAACTTTGATAGATTTAGAAGAACCATGGATCGAAAGAACTTTAAGAGCCATCTTCGCCTTCTAAATATGAGTCGGTTTTGGTTTTGTGGAATGATAAAGAAAACCTAGTTAAAGAGTTGCTTTTTCCTTTTTTCTTTTTAAAAAAAAAAAAAAAAAAAAGTTATTCTGTATTAAATTTCAAGTTAACCATCTATTAATTAAAGCCTTTGTTATTATCTTTTAGTATATAAGTTATAGCTTTCAGATTGATAATTTTCTTTGATTTTCACTATTTGAAAGCATTTTTTTTTCCTTCAAAATTTTTGGATAAAATGTTTTTAATTAATTTTATACTCATCTTTGCAAGTTTATGAAGTGAAACTCGGTTTTTGTATTAATGATTTTTATCATTAAATTTATTTCGTAAAGTGATTCAATTATATTGTTCAATGTTATAAGGATTTTATCGGCATCTGAAAATTAAGTTTTCAATGTTCTATTTTTTATGTTGCCTTTAAAACTTTGTCTAAGCTAAAAAAAAGACTAATTAAAAAAATAAAATAAAAAATCATTAATTTGAAATCAACAAGTTTGATAAAACTCAATTAAAGTGATTGTTTGTAAGTTAAATATTTAATCAAAAGCTTGACTCCATCCCTCTTTTATCTTAATTAAGATAAGATCCTATTCTGATTTACATTTTCGGTTTCGAAACTAAAATTTATTATATTATAGTTATCTTTATTTGCAAGTACATCAATTGAAAAATCAAATTTATTATATTATAGTTATCTTTATTTGCAAGTACATCAATTGAAAAATCATTTTTATACTTGTATTATAGTTATCTTTATTTGCAAGTACATCAAGAGAAATTTATTGGTTATTCCATGTTGTGATTCGATTTAATGTTGTGAGTATATTTCGCCAACATTAAAAGTTATTTTGCTTTTTGGCCATGGGAAAGGGTTGGAAAGCTAGAAGATTAATAAAACAACAAAACAAATTGGAGAGAGGACAAATTGTTAGGTAGATTAAAAATTCAATCAGATTATTAAGTGGCCTTAGACTCGAGAAGAAAATCCCAGAGCTATAAATCCTTAGTTTAGCTAATGAGATTAATAGGTTTACTTCATCTTCTTCAAAGAAATTGAAATTAAATTAAAAAAATTAGATCAGCCAAAGAAATTATTGCTCTATCTTCATGGAGAGAGAAAAAATTTCTGCAAACATCTTTGCGTCATTGGCTACATCATTATTGAAAACCATATAGATATAGATATAGATGTATATCAAAATCTACAAAATTGTTAGCAAGATCTCTGTGCTTTTGATTCTAATTCAGATTGATGAACATATTAACATACAAAAAATATATATATATCTACAGCAAAGCATTGTTTTTAATGAACACGAATTGATTAATGTTTTATCTTCATATAGTAATATTTTAAAAGCATGTATGAGAGAGCTTCGAAGGGGGAGGAACTCATTATTGAAAATTATCAACGGTGATATCAATGGAGGTAGAAAACCACATAATTGTTAGAAAACTGACTGTGCTTTTAATTTGGATATCAATAAAAATATATTGAGAATTTTACAAGCCTATTTAGTAATAAAAACACTAATGTAATGAACCCATAAGATATAAATTAATAATCACAAACATAATTAAAATAATGATAATAATTTTATTAAATCTCTAATCTATTCATTCAAACAATATTTCAAGTCTAACCAACAGGATGTTGGGTCTTGCCTACAAACTAAGAGGACGATTATTTCTAATAATAAAAAATAAATATTTCAACATATATGTTATGGTAATCAATCTGAAGGAGTTGCAGAACATTGCTTGATTGCATACTGGAAAAAGGGATTGTTGAATATGGAAAACACGGTTGAAGAGCAATCAGCATTCAATTGTTGGACAGCTGCACAACATGTCGGACTCAAAGAAATTGTTTGACTGTCATACGACTTAGAAATTTGCTGAAAGCATGATGTTGCAGCTGCACCACTAACAAGATCACCCAAACATTTCAAAATGTTTGGATCAAGCAATGGTTTTGTTGGGGACAAGGAAGGTGGAATTGGGTTGTAGGACCACGGCCATCTAAAAGCCCACCAAGTTGAACTTGCTGCATCAACTGCATTGACTCTGGAGGCATTGGCTCCAGATAAAGCAGCAAGGATGAACAATATGACAATGGCGGTTCCCTTCATGGTTGAATAGAAAAAAAATACAATTTGATTAGCTTGAGTAGAGTGAAGTTTGACGGTGGTGTTTGTGAGATTATATAGAGCAAAATAAATTAATAAGATTGTTTTGGTTTATTTTATAATTTTCTTTGCAAGTGTCAAACTGATTTTTATTTTAATGATATTTGTCATTTATCTTTTAGTTGATAAGTTAATAGTTTCTGGATTGATAATATCTTTAGGTCCGTTTGGTTTGTTATTTTGAAGATAGTATTGAATAGTTGAGTAATGTGATTATTACGAGGTAAAATTTAAAAATTAATAAATAAAAAATCCCTAGGTTTGCTAATTTAACTAAAAACCACAATATATAAAAATTTTATAAAATGACAAAAACACCCCCACCCACCCACAGTGCCAGAATCCAACTATCATTGCCAGAATTTGGTCGGAATCTGGCGTTACGATGCAGACCGATCAGATCTGGCCGGTCGTGCATTGATCTGGCCTTTACCAGCTAGATCTACCACGGATTTGGCCGGAAAATGCCAGATCTACAATCAGATCTGGCCGTTGACGGTCGCAAAAGGCCAGATTTGGTTGTCGCTGACGGCCAGATCAGCGAATTACCGACCAGTTTCAGTCGTTTGTACACTGTTGTGACAGATTCCTGCTACCACCGACGGTGGTTGCCAGAATCTGGCAACTATGGGTGTGTGGGGGTGTTTTTGTTAATTTTTAAACTTTTTCTTTGGGGGTGTTTAATTAAATTAATAAACTTAAGGGGTCTAAAGGATTAAATAAAATATAATAATATTTCCTAAATAATGAAACAAACAGTTATTTTGAAAATAAGATCGGGAATAGGGTATGAAATAATAAACCAAACACACCCTTTGATTTTCAGTATTTGAAAACACAGTTTTTTTTTTTTTTTTAAATTTTTGGATAAATTTTTATTTATTTATTTTATACTTATCTTTGCAAGTTTATCAAGTGAAACTCGTTTTTTATATTAATGATTTTTATCATTAAATTTATTTCGTAAAGTGATTCAATTATATTGTTCAATGTTATAAGGATTTTATTGGCATCTGAAAAGTTTTCAGTGTTCTATTTTTTATGTTGCCTTTAAAACTTTGTATAAGCTAAAAAAAGTCTAATTAAAAAAATCAAGAAAAAAAAATTATTAATTTGAAATCAACAAGTTTGATAAAACCCAATTAAAGTGATTGGTGGTAAGTTAAATATTTAATCAAAAGCTTGACTCCATCCCTCTTTTATCTTAATTAAGATAAAATCTTATACTGATTTACGTTTTCGGTTTTGAAACTAAAATTTATTATATTATAGTTATCTTTATATCAATGATTTAACATGCAAAAAAAAAAAAAAAAAAAAAAATTCTATAGCAAGGCATTGTTTGAGTATAAATAAATTTAATTATATAATTCAATACAATTTTTAAGGGGATGAGATAGATTTTCAGAGAATCAGAGATGAGTTAAGAGTTGGATGTGAATTTTTGTAGAGGTAGAGATCTGTTAACAGTCAAATTTATGGGAAAATTTTCACTAGATTTCTACAATAAAAGAGTCCTAAAAGATAACAAAAAACAGTAAGGACCAAATAGAATTTTTCACTTTGGGCATTATTGACTTTTAACATTTACCGTTAGAAAACGGTATCAAAAGGAGGTAACTGAGGAAAGTTAATACCCTAGGGAGACGGTTGAAATATCTTGAAATTTAGGGAGTTTTCAAAATCCCTAAACCTCAGTGAAGGTTTTGGATAGTACGCCTTGAGATATCAATGTAATAAAATAGCAGAAGGCCCAGAACCATATGATATGGTCTATTCATCAAAAACCCTCCAATATGGTGGTAATTTTTTCCTTTCTAAAGCCCAGCAGATAAGGACCGTCTTGGCGGGCAATCTCCTCACTTCGACACAGTAGCTCTCTGCAAAAACCCATGTAAGCGAAATGCTTTTTCTTTTTTTTTTTTTAAATTTTTTATCCCTTCGTGTTTTATTCTCCTCCCCTTAGTTTATGTTTCATTGATGAATTTCACTATCCCCATTTAATGACGAAGAAATGGTGAGGCAGAGAAATTTAATGTTTTGATTGTCCTGTAGAACTAGAAATTGTCGCTGATTCAAAGGCCGATGTGTTTATGTACCTTGTTCTGAGATGGGTTTTTAGTATTTTTTTTTTTTTTTTCCCTTTTAATTTGTTTTCTTGCAGTTTCCCGGCCACCAAATAATAGGTTGTTGTCAAATTTTTAAATTGTTCTTTAACATTAATGAGTATTGAAGAATTATCAGTGCGCGACATTGTGTTTGTCAGCTTAAATTTTATTTATAATAGAACTATCGTAATTATATGTTAATTATTGACTGTACAATCTGGAAAGAAAGGAAAAAAGAAACTTGTTTTTTCTTTTTTGTTATGATTGAGACATGGCACGGTGGTGTGAATATTCTAGATTGGGGCATTTCAATTTTCAAGATTTTGTGTTAGCGTATGGTTGTGTCTTTGTTTCTTGTATGATGGTTTCTATTGAGATGATGGACTTGTGGCTTTAAACTCTCTATAAAAAATGATGGAGCTATTTAGTTTCATTCATTATCCACCTGCCTTTAAAATTTTAGTTAATTGGTTGACTAATTAAGTTTAGTTTTTCTTTTGGTGCTAATACAGGTAGAAGGAACTGTTTTATACACAAACCTTTTGTTTGTTTGTTTGTTTTTTTCCCTTTGTTTTGGAAGGAGGGTAAGCAATTGTTTTTATTCCTTCCTTCATTATCTTGATGCTGATAGTTAGTATAGCTTTTGTATTTTTTCTTATCATTTGAGGAATGACTTTGGATTTCAGGTCATTGCAAACCTTAAAGGCTCTTTTTCCGTGCTATGTCATAGTCTGGTTGCTCTAAATTTATGGCATATTTGCAGTCTTTGCATTCCCGAGTCCATTCCTTTTGGAGAAATTTTAATTGCTTTGGTAAAGACTTCACAAGGCCTCATAGAGTTGGAAACAATTTGTCTTCTATTAAGAGACTTGATCTAATTCATCTTTTATCCTTTCAATCCGTGAAGGTAACTCTCTACAAACTATATGAGAAAATTTATAAACATTGGAAAACAACTTTCTAGTTTCTTTGACTATGATTACTGCTTCAAAATATTAATCTTTCACTTGACTTTTTTACTCGTAATTTATAACAAAAAAATTTGCCACACATTCGAATGTGGTGACTCTTTGCTTAATACATCTTTGCCATGTTTCTGAATGCATCAATTTCATAGGAGTACATACATCCATACTCTCTATACAGGTCTTGATTATTTTGCTGGCAACATGCAATAGTTTTCTCCTTTAATGAAAAATGGTGAAGAATGACTATAATGGTTTTTGTTTTACAGGGCTATTGCAGTCTATCTGCAGATTCAAGTTCGACTCTTCCTGGAGTTGCTCACACAAATGTTAACAGTAATGTAGTTACTTCTAAAAGTGAACAATCATTGCACCAGGAGGCACACCTTCAGTCCGCGAAGTTTGAAGATAGACCACCAAATGCCAATCCCCCAAATGGCAGAGTAATGCTTATTGATGGCACATCAATCATTTATAGGGCTTACTACAAGCTGTTGGGTATGTTACAACATTCTTCTTTTTTATTTATATTGAATGATTTTATTGAGATTGGAATTCAATTATGCCTTGTAAGTTTTTTTTTTTTTTTTTAATAAATATTGTTGAGTTACGGTCAGTGTAGCTATTTGCATCTTGGTTTATCATATTACATATACTTTAATTCATTATAATATGTTTAATGGAGGGATGTATATCCTCACTGACCTAAAATTCGAACATTATAAATTGGATTCCGTTACTTGGTTATCTAAAAGATTGAATATCTTAGAAGTGTAGCTTTCATTTTTCTTTTCTTAACTTTGGAAACTTGTTGTTTTGGATTTTTTTTTTTTTAATAGTTAATTTGGCAATATAAATAGACTATTCTTTTTAGAGAGGAAGGTATAATTTTTTTGTAGATTAGTGTTTGATACCTGGCATCTCTTTTGGGCCTTTGAGAAATAACTCAATATTCTCCTTCTTCTTCATTCACTATTATCAAGGAGGTGTATTTGGTTAACTATGGTGTTTATTTGGCTTTGTAATGTCAGACCTTTGCTTCTTTTCAGGCATTTATATTAATGTCTGATAGTTATTTGAAAATGTAGGCAGTTATTTTCTCTAATTATTGTTTTTCTTTTTCCTTCTTATGGAGAGCAGCAAAGTTGCATCATGGTCATCTATCACATGCTGATGGCAATGGAGATTGGGTTTTAACTATATTTTCAGCTCTGTCTCTTGTGAGTGATGTTTATTTTCAGTATCTTGTGACTTATTGTTAATTATTTCTATTTCGTCTTTTGATATTATAATTTAATTTTATCTTAGATAAAAATTTAGTAGCGAAATGATGTATATTGATGTTAATAAATATTTTGCATGAGACACTTGTATCTGCAGCATCTTTAGCGTTATTGGGACAGACAGAGAAGTGTAGCACATTTAGTGTTATCAGATAGACCTTTTCTTCCCCTCATGTCAAATATTTGCGAACTGTTGGGGCAGATTGGGCCTTAAATTTGAAACTTTCCAGATTTACTTAAATTTTTTCTGGTCTAAGGTTTTTCTGATCCTTCTTTCTCTTGCAGATCATTGATGTGCTGGAGTTCATCCCATCTCATGTAGCGGTATAATTTTGGCCGTTGTTCTGTTCCATGCTTCTTTTGAAAATCTAAATTTACATTGTGAATGATGTGTGTTCATTATCTCATATCAGCTTTTGGGTAACTGTATATGTAGCAGATTTTATTTACTGGAGAGTGGTTGAACAGCCTTTTTCAGAATGATTTTTCACTGTATATGTAGTAAATTTACACTTGTGTTGCATGTTAAATGTAGCAGGATTCATAAGATATCTTTCTTACTTGAAGTTTTTAATTTATCACTTTTTTTTTTTTTTTTCCATTCTCTCTTTTAAATTGGATGGTGGTTCTTAACAATTGATTGTTTCCTTCTTTCTTTATGCAGGTGGTGTTTGACCATGATGGTGAGATTTGATATTCCTGGGCAATTTTTATTTTGTACTTTATTTCTTTGATTTTTTATTGACTGGTTCCTGTTCTCTTGAATAATCTGTTAATATCGTTGTTTTACATGCTATTTAAATTATATTAATTCTTTCAGCAAGTGGCTTGACTCTATTTGTCCATGGAATGCATTTTCTGAATGAATAGTGCTATACTTCTCAAGTATGTATTCCGACTTTTGTATCCTAAGTTATGTGGCATTAATCTAAGATTGTTAAGTGGATGATGAAATAATATAGTAAATGTTAGGGCAACCATTAGTTAGTGCCACCTATCATGAGATGCAAAAGTTTGGAAATGAACTTGGAAGTATAGTATTACTCTTACTCAAGCATCCACACTATCATTGGTTAGATAAACTACATCTGTAGTTTTTCTCTTAATATATTCCTGGGATTTTTGTTAAAGTGGAGAATGAGAAATTTTTTTGACCATTGTGAGAATACTCTTTGATGTTGAGGGAAGCGTACGGATGGAGATTCATATAAGAATTAATCTAATTTAGGCCCTAATGTACATGAGCTTTGGGATTCAATGGTGAAGGGTTTTTGTAATGCACCCAGTGACAATAGTTGCTTTCCTTTATACTCTCATATCCTATTTTCTTTGTCTCCTATGCTAACTTCTTGAGAATATCCTCTGATGTTGAGTGAATTGCATGGATAGAAATTCATAAAACTATCTATTTAATTCTGGCCATAATCAACATGGGTATCTTTTACTTAGTGATGAAGGGTTTCTATAGAGCCCCAATAGAAAATAGTTTGCTGGCCTTCTTTATACTATCATATCCTTTTCTCTCAGTCTTCAATGCTCACTTTGTGTTTCTACAATGAAATAAATTATTTTCCCTTTTTCTTGAATTGATGTTTCAGAAATATATACATTTTATTATCGTCCTTCTGTAACATTCTTTACCTGTTAAATGTTAAGTTTTCTAGTCTGATGTTCCCTTTAGTAGTTGGAGAATATTCACATAAGTTGTGGGGTACTTGGTTTGTGAATCTGTTGTTTAAAATTTTGATAAAACAAACCTTTTCCTTTCAGGATTTCCATTTGGTCATGCTTCTATTTCTTCAAAAGAAAATTTCATGGCAAAAGGTGAGATTGTTTGTTTGTTTTTATTTCTTTTGGTATTATGATGAAGCTGAGAAAGTTGTGGAAGATCCTTAGGATATTAAGAAGCATGTTTGTAGTTTAAAAATTTAATGATCATGGTTGTTATTGGGTGTTAGAGTTTTTTTTTGTCTTGTAACAAATACATGATTCGCATGTAACTGTATGGTACTGGGTGTGCATGTCTTGAAATGGTGCACGATAGCTTATATACCATATCAAGACATGCACATTGTAACCAGATCTCTTAACTAAAAATAGATGGTTTGCAATTTATATGATGTTACAATATGACATTACAATGCGTATGGGCTTCTTTCTCGAAAACCCGTTTTCCTCAATCTTGTGATATTTTAGACGCTTTGGTCCCTAGAGAAATCGTGGGCTACTCATTGCTAGTGCTTCAAATAATAGCATTTTTTACATGCAACACTATGGGGTAAGCTGGTTGAGCAGGGGAATTTTCAGCCCTCTAGATGTGAATTCTAATTGTGTTATTCTGGAAATTAGCTATTCTGGAAATTAGCGAGAATTTTGTGAATACAGAAAAAATTTTAATTAACTTGAGGCAATTGATGAATATATATGAATTTAAAACTGTATATCCAAGAAAACATGCTGTAATATATGATAGAATTGTCCAACAATAGAATTATGAAAATTCCATGCGTATTTTATTTGAGTATTGACATACCATAGATAATAATATACAACAAAATTGTGCTTATAAAAGTTTAGTCGGTTGTATTCTGGTCATAATTTAAGATTCCAAAAGTTCACTTCTGGTTTTGAACTATGCTGTGTGCTTCACATAGATTCTTTATATTCGAGTGATCCTAGTTCTGTTGGTTGCATAAATATATGATTTACTATGTCTGGATCAAGGATTCGATGACAGGAAGTTTGCTTATTACCTGTGTCTGGTGTGAGAAATCTTTGCATCCTAAAATGGATGTCTTTGTTTTTGAATTTACATACTTTGATGTTTTTGTTCATATCGTATTATTTTCTACTCTGAAATTATACTCTATTTCTGTTTAAGTGACCCCTTCTTCAACTCCCTGGAATAATAAGGTTGTTGAGGACTTTTAAATTTTCTAATATGATAAGTTGCTGACACGTCCTTTCCACAGATCACTTTTAAAACTATATCGATGTCGTTAATGCACATTCTGTCTCTCGTTTGGTTCAACCTACATAGAATATGAGCAGAATGACTTGAAAGCTGAACCTTATGTACATAAACCCTTTCCTCATCACGGGACTTGAAGCATGTATTCAAGCGTTTTTTTAGGTCTTTAACCCAAGTCTGGGACAAACCATAGAGCTCGATGTTATTTTTGTATCAAAGTGCATCTAAATGTATCCCCAGATCTAGATTTCTGGTTTTAACCAAATTGGTCGATGTTTTGCCTTTGGTGGAAAGTCTTACACAACATTTTTTTTTTTTTTTTTTAATTGTTATCATTTAGCTTTTGTACATGAATTCATCATTTAACCTTAGTCATATTTTATGTCTATTCACTGGCAAAGTAGAGTAGATGGCTGTCATATTCATGGTAAAGTGGAATATTTCAGTATAAGGCTTCCATTTGACTGTTTTGGTTCTTGGATATTGCTGGATTTGAAGTCAAGCTATTTTGATCATGTCTCTTAATCTTAGTTTTGTTTCTCCTGTGGTCTATAAGAGAGGAAGCTTTCATGATTACTCCCTTAATTTTTGTTCTGTACCTCTTCTAAGGATTAAAGCAGTTTGAAACTAGCAGATATAACGTCATCTTTTATTAAATAATGGTCAATCACATCTCTTTACACCTTGACCTTTGTGCATTCGTCTATTTGTTGTTATCACCCTTTCATTTCTGTATTGGTAATTTACTTCTTATTTTTAGTTTAAAATCACTTTAATATATTAAGTAAATTCATGGTTTTCCTCTTTATTTTATGGCTAGGTAGTACTAATATTTTAAATATATGATCACTCTCTTTGAAAGCGAAAGTCTGATTATATATGCTTAAATTTTTTGAAGGCATGAATTTCCGTCATACTCTATATCCATCTTACAAGAACAACCGTCCCCCTACACCTGATACCATAGTTCAGGGGCTTCAATATTTGAAAGCATCCATCAAGGCTATGTCCGTTAAAGTGATTGAGGTAAACATCTAGTACCATGTATTCATATGATTAGTTAATCTGATGGTTTGAGGCACTAATCATGAAACTTTATTACAAGTCAGGTACCTGGTGTAGAAGCTGATGACGTGATTGGAACATTGGCTATGAGGAGTGTTGATGACGGGTACAAGGTAAGTATCTTAAACTATTTTGAATTTTCATATTGGAGTAATCCAAGGTTTATATCGGTTTCTATTTATACACTCATCTTTGAGCATTTCATTGCACAATGCAGAATGATACTAGAGTTGTCTATAATTGTCTTTTCCCCATGTAAAAGCAAGACACTATGTTGGGTTGAAAAGAAATTGCATATAATATACCGCATTTTGGAAGCAACGAAAACGAAGTGCCAGTGTATCAGTGTTTACTCATTGTATACTGTTATCGCATTCCACTCTTTATTGTTTCCTCTTGCTTTACTTTTTATTTATTTATTTTTTCCGACAGGTACGAGTTGTTTCCCCAGATAAAGATTTCTTTCAGATCCTCTCCCCCTCTTTACGTCTTCTACGAATAGCACCACGTGGATTTGAGTTAGTATATATTGATTATACAACTTTTCATTCTTCTTTCTCTTCTAAAATTTGAAGTATGAAAATCAAGAAATCTTTTGATTTCTGGAACCTGTTTTGCTCTTTAACCATGTTTATAGCACGCCCGAGTTGATTTAACTGATTCTCACTAAATTAGTAACAAAGTTCATATTATTTATTAATATCAGCTTGCGGATATTACTTAATAGGAAAGACAAAATTCCTGTTTGGTACATCTATGTAGCAACTAGCAAGTATAATATATTTATCTTCTGTTTTGCGATTTATTTTGCATTTTAAGTCAATTGTTTTATTTACGATATGCATGTATTCTTTTATTTATTTTTTTTTTTGATTTAAATGACCTTGGGCTTTTGGTTATCCAGTATGGTTTCATTTGGAATGGAAGATTTTGCTAAAAAATATGGAGTTTTGAAGCCTTCACAATTCGTGGATGTGATAGCTCTTGTGGGTGATGCTGCTGATAATATTCCAGGTTATTTGTGATTCTTTTTTGTAAAAGATGAATATGGTTAAAAGCAATTTTTATCTAACCTAGCTTTTGACTTTCAGTAATTTATTTATCTGCCATCATGTGTGGCTTGGGAAGCAGTCCTTTTTTATATCATATTGCAGTTTTCTCTGTCCACTAACCCACTCTCAGAGAAAAAGAAAAGTGTAGCTTGTTTTGTGAAATTATTGAAAGGAGGTTATGGTATAGGACAACCTAGAGAATTTATGAAGTTATTGTAATTTCTCTTCGATTAATTATTATTTTCTTGCCTTATTTATTTTCTAGTTTAAATGAGAGAAGACTTCCTTATTTGGGCTGGGCTTCGAACCTGTTAGGGGAAGATTTTTTTACCTGCTATAAATTGAATTTATGCTTCTTTAGAACTTGTAGACAATAGGTTCCACATAATTTCTCATGTTACTGCTAATTTGTAATTAACTTGAAAATTCCCAAAATCAGCCGCCCACACCCCCACAATAAAACCTCTATAGTAGGATTTGTATATGTAATACAACTATGGTGTGTTGAGGATGCATGCATTGTTTTTTGGCATTTCCTTGATTTTAAAATCTTGATAGAGGTCAGAGTTTCGAATTTTCCTGATATCTTGATGTGCTTCTTAGTTTTACTTTGGAGCTTGAATTCTTTCCAAATGTAAGATATGGCCACGTTTAGCCTCTGGTTGAATATGGGAATGGATGAGGGTTAGGAGTGGATGCTTCAGATTAGTCTTCAAAGAAATGGATTTTTAAATTATTAACAACTCCTTTGTTTTATGTACATATTTCTTGAGATATGTTAAATTCCACCAATAGTGCAACATTACCTTATGAATGCAGGAGTTGAAGGGATTGGAAATGTTCGTGCTGTGCAACTCATCTCTTCCCCTAGTTTGGTATGTTAATTCATCATTTAGGATGTTTTCTTGTTTGATGTGAACTAAAGTATACATTAGTTGCATTTTTATGCTATGAAATTCGTCAATTTTTGTTATCATCTGGAAATTGAAGATGATGCACCCTTATGCATGTTTTAATTGTAAAATCCTGTTTTCTATATGCCTAACTATGATAATAAAACTTAGGGATATGCTAAAATTCTTTTGCTGTTGATGAGAAGATCTGAAAAAAAAAATACATATATATTGTATAATATTGACAAGGTTTAACCTGAAGTACAAACGTTGTTGATATATAGTTTTTCCTCAATTAAAATTGGGGCACCCTTACTGACTAGAGGTTTATAATTGATGTTTTCTTGTCATCAGTCCCAACTACTTGTTGCCCAATTAATTCTTATCTATCTCTTCCCAATCCTCAAAACTTCTTATTCTTGATATCTGACATGTTATATCCTCACTTGAATGGCAGGCACATTGGAGAACTTGTTGAAATCTGTTGATCAATTGAAGGAGATCTTATTAGAGAGGTAGAATTTACCTGTTACAACTAAATCATAAACTTTTTCTTCTTATTCTCTTCTCTGGTTGGTTAGCCGGTGTAAATTAGTTAATAGATGGCTTGTTGCTCTAATCTGTTTGGACCATATGCCCCCAGTTTAGGCCTCTGTAGTGGACTGAAATTAATCAATTTACAAAGTTCACCCATGATATGTTAACTTAGCATCTAATGAATAAAATTTGTTTTCATTTTCATTTTATACATTTCAACTGGCTGAAAAGTTTTGCATTTCTTTCTATTTTTCTTTTTAATAAGATGGTTTGTAGATGTTTTCTGCAATCTTTATTCTTCATGCACTTGCAGTGTTGTAGAGAGAGTTTACTATACATAATGCTATTCCTAATTCTCTTTTTATCTCTTGCAGACCTTGATAACTCATGCTGATCAAGCTATCCTAAGCAAGAACCTGGTATTGTTGTCTACCTTTATCATTGCTTGTTGAAACTAAGTCTTCTCCTTGTATGTTGAATTCATAATTACTGGTTCTACACTCGTAATCCATATGTTTATTATGCTCCTTTTTTTTCTTACATGAGTAAATATTCTCGTATATTTGTCAAATTCTTATCAAAAGCTGCCTGGCATATCTCCTATTCCATCATTCAACTCTACTTGATGATATCTATTAATGTATTTGATGATGGAAATTTCTCATCAGCAAATTACTCCAATTGATATATAATCACATAAAATAGTTTAACTTCTTTATGTTTTGACTGACACTTATGCAATGAACTTTGTTATGGTATTGGAATCTTGTATGTTGTGGCAGGCATGGCTACGTTCTGATCTTCCATTCTACATGGTACCATTTACTACCAGTGATCTCACTTTTAAAAAACCAGAGGTTTGTGTAATCACAATTGGGTAAACTTTATCTGTCTTTATGAATCTGTGACTTTTTCAGTTATTCTAATGCATTGAATTATACTTGGAAACTTTTGGCTATATTTACCAGGACTTGTACCTGTTTTTATGCTGTAGGCAACAAAGTGAATCATCTGAACATCTGTCACTACATAATACTTGTGGAAAAAAAAAAAAAAAAAAAAAAAATTAGTTTAAACTAGCATTATAGCTCTCACTGGGGCGTCTTTTGGCCATTTCAAGTCATATCCACTTAAATTCCATCCTAGGTTTTGCTCACAGATGTCAATTCATTCTCATTTGCCCTTTTTCTGAGGAACCAAATTCTTTCTGCGTCACATTTTCTCCCCTTATATTGAGATCAGAACTGTGATGCCCTCAAAAGGAATTGCAACTCTTATTGGAGGGATTATTTTAGTTTTGCCATTACTTTTGTCTGGTCCTATCTTCTAGGTTTTCTATGCTTTTCTTTGTACCTAAATGATTTCAGCATTCTTCTTCTTTCGTCATTCATGATTCATTGAAGCACCTTTGCCAAATGATGCCACATCTTGCATGCATTAGGAAACCATTTGCACTCTGTTGATAACAAGTCATGGAAGAGGTTTTTCATATACTTATGTGATGCTTCAAGCTGAAACTGGATCATGATGGATACAGGACAATGGGGAGAAATTCAGAAGCCTCTTGACTGCCATTGCGGCTTATGCAGAAGGGTTCTCAGCTGATCCAATGATAAGAAGAGCCATGTATTTGTGGAAGAAACTTGAAGGGGTGCGATGAATTGTCTCTAGGATTCGGGCTCTTTGCTAGTAAAGCTTGTTTGGAAATCAGATATTGTTGAAGCAGAGAGGATAACATGTATATTGATTGATTTTGGCACAGAATATAGTTCCTACACTGGCTACCATTACTTGGACATTTGATAATTTTCTATATAAAAGTTCTAATGTATCGGGTAATGTAGCATGTCCAAAGAGTTAACACCGTTGAATAAAGATTAGAGAAGTTTCGTTAATAATAGAAATTCTCATCCAACAGCGTTCGCATACCTGAAATTTATACTATTTGGTTTGGGTATAAACTATTGTTTTAAAAGTCGGCCTGGCCTTGTCGGATCCGGTGCTTTCATCGGGTCTAATTACCCATTTCATTAATCACTAAAAACCTTAGAAATTGAGATGATGATCAGCGAACAATTGAAGGTTGGGATGTTGGGGCTTTTGAAAAAAAAAAGTTCCAGTGAGTGTAATGGTGGCAACAGAATTGATTTTCGGTGAGTGAATCAATTGAAAATCGAAAAAAAAGACGACAGTGATAGTCGACTTTTGCCAACAATTGGCAAGGCATTAGGAGTGGGGTGAGGTGGGTTTTGATCAGAAGGTTGAGGGGAGCAATTTTGTGGTGATGGGGAGGGTTGTCGATGCCAACGGTGGTGAGATCTGGCTTAGAATGTTGACGTCGACGTTGGTGAGATTTGGTCAATTTCAACCAAATATTGGGTAGATTTTATGGAGACTAGATTCAAAGGATGATTGGGATTGTATTTGGTGTGTCATTGTCGCCAACTAGTCAACCACCGATTTGTATTTGGAGTGTGTGTGTTAAATTTTTAACCTATAGAGACTTAATTATAGCGTTGTATTTGCTAAATTTTAAAATTTTTGTCACTTGTTTTCACCAGCCAGTCAAACCAATCGACCCGAGACGTGAGAACTTTGCTAGATTTCATCCGGGTTTGGTTATTAAAGCATTGATATAAACATAATTTGCCTATGTTACCAAATTTTTTCTCTTATATCTATGTTACTAATTGCTCCATTAATATAGCAAAAATAGGGCATGTTGAAATTTTCCGGGATCAGTACAGCTGAGGCATGATTATTAGGTGTTCCAAAAAATGGCCTTGATTTTGACGCTAATTACAAGTCAGTATGCAAAACTTTTGTCCAGGAGATGAAATTGTAGATCAGAGACAAAAATTAGACCTCTATAACACCAATTGCATCACTTGCAAGGATGAAATGACCTAATTAACTGAAGACAAAAAAATTGGTAAGCTCTTAAATAACATAAACATCATCAGTTTACACATCAGAGGACCTTGAACTCGATACTTCAACATCTGATTCTTCTTCAGCTTCTGGTTTTTCTTCAGCCTCTGAATTTTCAAGCTCCATTATAGCATTAAATCCAAACTCATTTCCTGGAGTAAAAACCTTTTTGAGTTCTTCAGCAGACTGGGTTGTGGTAACTTTTTTCTCCTTCACGTTCAAATTTTCCTGCATTGAATTAAAACATTTGTAAGTGTCGACCGAGGTTGGATCAAAAGATGCATGCAACAAGAATTGACAATGACTTGCCTTCTTTGAATAATCAGTCATGGTTGAGCTAACTATTTCTTGTACTACAAACTTGGTCACACGGTCTTCACCGAGGATTTGTAAGAGGAAATCCTTTGGGACCTGGGAAAATTAAAATATCGGACATATTATATCTAGTAAAAAGCATAATAGATATATTTTATACAATTTATCCCAAAGTGAATCGCCAATCCACTGAAAATATATTCTGCAAGTCTAAAATTCGGAGCAACATCTAAAGTTTGGTTGCTTCAGGACATGCATGGTATCTTTAATTCTAAAGAATTAATCCCAACTTCTTAGTGCTCTACATGTTAAACCAAATCTGTTTTTTGAAAATGCCAAAAAAGATCAAGCATAATCTCTAAGAATATGGAGACAAAGCCAAGGCCAAAAACTACTAACCTTTGTAGTTTTTCCTGCAATTGTCCCCGTACATGCAAAATGTAAGATGGTTAGAATTCATGGCGTGACTAGTTCACAGGCTGCATAGAACACAAATCTATGAACCAAAAGAGAACAGAGAGAGAGAGAGAATAGAGATAAAGTGCACTCAAACATGCAGTAGGTTCAAAAAATTGATTCAGCTTATAGGGAAAATCACTCCAATTGCATCAGCAATACACAAAGCCTAGTGATTGAACCCTTGACCTGTAGACCATGGTCTACTGACCATTTAATAGCGCATAGCTCATGCAACAAGCACCATTGAGTTTATCTTGGAACAAAAAAGGTTCTTGCCACACTCAATGTCAAGATCTACGAACACTTGCAGGACAAAATTAATAATGTCTGATACTACAGTATGTACCAAGGCTAAAGAAATTTGATATGCTTTACCCAAAAAAAAGAAATTTGATATGAAATGAGTGCATATGGACTACTTGATTCACATACGAATAAAGATTGCATTTGGGTTGTAGAAGAATAAAGAACTCAAGTAAGATAAAAGACGATTCTATTTGAGACATTCTGGAGGATACAATATTATGAAATGAATGAGCACCTATTGGTATGCATAGATGAAGTCAATATTATATATTCAAGCAAATCAAAAGTTAGGTAAATCAACAGCAGAACTTGAGAAATTTATACATTGGCATATTTCCATTGTTTCTAACAAGAAGAAACATAAAGCAAGCTGTGAACTTCAATGACCTAATCCTATTAAAATGCGTAACATGAATGCATTACCTCCTTTTTCTCGGCGAAATCCAGGTATTGGTGGTGCTGAACGAGCCAAATTCGCTAAAACCTTATCAAATACTTTTTGTGTCGCATCACCAGTCAAATCCACTTTCACCTGACAGTGGAACAGCATAAGAATCACAGATGGTGGTTCTAAGAACATCAGGAAAGTAGATAGAATAGTGCTTGAACTCCCAAGCAAAAATGATATGCCTAAAAACATAAGGATCATGTTTTCATCCACTCTTATGAACTCATGTACAATCCTTTAATGCTATAGTAACAGTTAACAAGCTAAATGACACCATTAGCTAATATTTATCAATTTACAATAGAAATAATGAAACGAATCAATCCACTTCTGGACTTATATACCTCATGAGAATTGCTAAGGCAACATAACTCCTATAACATTATGTTTAGAGGATAATACCTTCAATGAGAAGCTGCAATATTGTGCTACATATCATCAATATATATCGAAACAAGAAGAACTACGTGTGCATGAGATAGAGAAAGAGCCTTGGCAGCATACGTTTAGCAAAAGAAATTAAAAAGGCTTTAAAGCTAATAAGCATAATAGTCACATTTACTTGAAAGAACATCTTGTCAATTGGTGAATGTTAGAAGTTGAATTTGTCCCATATCGCCCCAATAGTGGGCTGTTATGGTGTACATAAGTAATTGGGCTCCCTCCTCCCTTGAGCTAGCTTTTGGGAGTGGGTTCTACCCAATCTCACTTTATCAGTGAAAAACCAGCATAATGTGCAAAGAGAATCCTAGTGTTGCATCAATTTGCAGGTGAGGATGAATACATAAATGACTATTGACTGCACAAGTAAATTATTCAAGATAATCGTGCTGACACACCTGTATCTTATTTTCGTCTTGAGACTCTACAACTATCTTGGCATCTTTCACGCTTATTAAGTCCTCTGGATCTGTAATAGACACCTCTAGACCTACAATACCCTTGTAGCAAATAACTTCAGAAACTTACACCAATTAACAAGAAAGGATAAACAAAAGGCATGACATACATATATCATAACATTGCATACTATATTCAGTTTTAGTTCACCTGTATCAACTGCTGCTATAGGCTTTAATACATCTCGATGTCTTTTCATACGGGAATTACATGATAATGACAACCTTAAAGCACAACAGTATGTAAGACAATGCTCACAGAAATCTCAAGTAAAATACGAACAAATGAAAAACATTGAAAATAGGAAATTAAGCTCAAATCACATCAATAAAATTTATCAAGGGTAAGAAAGCTAAATTTTATAGCTTGTAATACTACTACTCTCATCAAATTACAACATTATTTTACCAAATCCTACATTCCTACATTACAAGTGTGGCATTTCATATTACACAAAATTTTGCGCGAGGAGAGAAAATCTTACACACAAGTGATGTATGTACAACCAACCAATCATAGGATGAGTGTATGTCATATGAGCTAACATGGCACCTCATGATTGGTTGGTTGTATGAACATCCGATATAGGGTTTGTGATATTCATGCTAAGCTTCACGTTGTTACAATTTTTACATTTGATACTAATAAGCTAGTCAAAGAAATTAAACGGTAATTATAAGAAACTCTAAAATAATTATAACAAAGAAAACAAAAACTTTTTCATCCAATTATAAGTTTTATTTACCTAACGTTTTGCTTTTTAAATACATTAAAACTTGTGGTACTTTGGTGGAAATGAGTTTGCTTGTTGTTGCAGCTCCTCAGAGAGACCAACTGTAAAAGAAAATTAAACAAAAAGAATGAAATTTTGAGCTGTAAATCGAACTTTTTTCTTCTGGGTATTGTTTATTTATGAAGAAAATTAGTAAATAAATGAGTTTTCTTACTTTGGGTTGTTGAAAGTTTGATGGCATTATCGTCATGGTGAATGAAGCTGAGGCCATTTTGCTGGTTTGCTCTCTGGTTCAGTTCTTTATCAACAGAGGTCTGCAGGATAAATATATAGAAACTCCTAAAGCCGTCGTTTATGTTTTAATTTTTTGGGGAGTTTGAGATTGTGCAAACGTTACGGGTTCAAATGATATTTATGAATTCAAAGAGATGAGTTTAATATATTTGAGGTAAAGATCATTTAGTCCCCTTGAAGTTTTCTATTTATCCCTTTTCCCGCCCTCTATTGCCTACTGGTTCTTAAATCTCACAGTGCCTATGCCTCTCATATGTTTAAGTGCTATTTGTACTAATCATAAACAAAGCAATGGGATTTGAGACTTTCTTTACAATCATGGCTAATAAAAATGAAACTCATAACTTGATGTAGGAAAACCTATGACCGAGAGTAATATTTCGGAGGATTACAGATCTTCTTGGATCATGATCTTTTTATTTAACTAAATAGGATCGTAGGTTTCTTGAGCCGGATTATGGATTATAGAGATGATTTTAAGCTTCAACCATATGCACCACTATATCTAGCAATATGACAATCCCCAAAGCCACATATGATGAGCTAGCTGATACAGGCATATGACTAGGCGTGCGACCTCCACGATAGCCCATTACCATGTCACCAATATGATAATCCTAGAATTGTACAGGATGAGCTAGTTGAGGTAATTAGATGTGCAATGTTAATGCATTAAGAAGGGACTCAGAGAGTGAAAAAAAGTAACAAAGAGTGTAAGTATTGTTGCTCATGTTATAATCCTATTTTATGTGATTTCAACCTATGATTTTATGAAAATTGACTTTGATGTTAAATTATTTATTATTAATTTCCAACCAATGGGTTTATATGGATTGGACACGTAATGAGTTTGGAACTATAAAAGCAGTCATGCCCATTACCATCTTTAAATAAGTGGGTCATTTTTCATTGATCTAAACATAATAGACGTAAATGACATTTACCCATTTTTCAATTGAACGGCACCGTTTCTCTCCACCACAAGGCGTTAACGTTCGGACGGTTTCAGTTCCTTCCGATTAAATGTCGCTGCAGTAGTGTGACAAAGACCTGAACTTGAAGAAGAAGAAGAGGATAAAATGGAAATAGCCATTAAACCCTTCTTCATGGGCTTAAACCCTACAGCAAGACACGTAGATTTCACTGTGAATTTCAAAATTCCCTCTTCAAAACACTCTTTACATCTCCTAAACTTGTATAACTTACAGGATTTACGTACATTGTTATTTTCTTTCACAGGCGCTTTATCGCAAACACATGGCGGACGTCTCCGTTCCAACTCTCTCTTCTAGAAGAGCACGCTTTGGGCCTCAAATGAACTGCAAAACACCAGACTTTTCTAACGGTAATGTTGTTTTATCCATTTCATGATGAGGGTAAGTTATAAAGCAATTTTGACCCAAAAAAAAAAAAAAAAAAGAATATGGCAAATTGTTGTGGTATACTTTGCAACTGAAATTTGGATCAGTAACCTTACAGGGTCGATATTTTGATTACTGGTAATATGTTTTAGAAACCGGGTATTTTAAGTAGCATGTAACATATATGGTTAACTGGAAAATCGTTCGTTGGTTATGTACAATACTTTTTTATTAACCATAATGTACGAAGTATTATGTTACATATATTGATGAAGTAATATGTAACATGTATTAGTAACTTAAAAATCGCCTATGATAAGTAAAAACTTTTTTCGTGTAACGTTACTGATCTAGTATTGTAGCAAAGCCCTTGAATTTCATATTGAGTTTGGTGGCATAAATGTGGCGGCAAGAACCTGATAACCGGTATAAAACAACTGGGTTCGGCATGAGATCACTTTGGATTTTTTTAAAGTACTATTTGGATTTACAATTGTTAAAGTCATAATAGGTTGGAAAGGAAGGTGGAGTTGTTTTGAATCTTTTTGTGAAGGTAATAGGCTGATTGGAAGTTATGGGACAATTGGACATCTTTGTTTTTCCTTTAGAAAATTAGTAGATGAGTAAGTTAGACTTTCTGTAGATTTAGCATTGATGTGATGCTTGAATTATCTGGTAGTTTGTTTTGGTTCCTTGGTTCTAATATGCACTGAGTTAGTATCAATAAAAGGTTGATTTTAAGTTGTACTAGCTGTTTCAAAACCAATTTCATATTGCAGGAGGAGTCGTAAATATTGTTCGTCTGTTTTTGCAGTATTATCAGGTTCATATCCGATTGTCTTTGTTCCTACTGTTACCTTTCTTAGTTATTCTTTTAATCTACTTTTTCCTAGTGCTATTCAAATTGGTTAACATGAATTAGGTGTGGAAGATGTTGGAGTTTCTTCTTCTCAATTTGATGACTTCTTGGTTACTACCTCCGAAACCAATGAGGCTAAAAAATTGAAGGTACAAAAGAATTGATGTGTCAAAATAATTGCATTAAATATGAAGCTTCAAGGTTGAAATAGAAAACAGTTATGATATAAGAGATTTTGGAATGACCTTAATGTTCCTCTCATTGTTCCTGTTGGATTTCTGGCTAAGTTTTATGCAGATATTTAGAATCACTTATGTGAATTTAAAGTTGATCACCAATTTCTTGTGTTCCTTCTGTACCTAGATAAGCTTAGAGGTATCAGGTACTAAAACTCGAGCAATTTTTGATGATGTATTCGATAAAATGGTAGCTGCAGCCCAGCCAATTCCTGGCTTTCGAAGAGTAAAAGGAGGTAAGATATTTTAATGCCCTGTGCAATTTCTATTGACTAAAACCCTATTTTTTTAGGCTTTTTGGAAAAAATAAAACAAGTCATGATCATTTCCAAAGTCATCATAGTCAATCTAGTGGCTTTCTTTCTTCAAAATTAAACTAGCTTTAGTTGTGACTGGTTTACCCTATCTTGTTAAATGAAATGAGCAGTTTATATTATGACTGCATTCTATTCTCATATTTTGCGAAACAACTCTCTTGTTTTATGACTCACTGATTTATTTTATTTTTCTGACACTGGCTGTTTCATATCTGGTGGACAATCTGGACACTGCCAGGAAAAACGCCGAATGTAAGTTTCTGTATCCTATTGTTCTGCGACAATCAATCTATGGACTTGGTGGTGATAGTGATCTTTCTCCTTTTTGCCTCTTTCTGGTCTGGAGAATAAGATTAGTAAATCTAATTGGGAAACAAATTTATGTGTTTGAAGTGAAGAATCACCTTCCTGGCATATGACAAAACTACCAATCACAACTGTTTTACTTTTACCCATGATGCATTCATAAGCATGATATTGATCTAATTTCTTAGAATTGTAAACCAAACGATTCGAGAAAACTTATCAATGCAATCCTATACTGCATTTCTAATTTTAGGTAGGATTCACTAATTCATTCTTGTGATCACTGTAAGAGGAATCTTTGTTATAGGGCCGGCTGAAAGTATGCCAACCCACTGGATATGAGCTTTTGTCCATTTACATACTGATGCTTGCAAATAAGTACATGTTTATTTACTTATTGATATGCATTTATGTAGAAACGCATGCCTGCACAATCCGCACACTCCTTTTAATAATTTTTGATGAGATGCTTACAGATTTCATGCTTGTTTATTATGTCAAGCAGATACCTAGAGACATTTTGTTAGAAGTCCTTGGACCTTCGAAAGTCTATAAGGAGGTTATCAAGAAACTAATCAACTCCACTGTAGCTGAATATGTTGAAAAGGTGACCAGCAATAGACTTTACTTACGTATTTCATATTTTTCGCATTTCAGAACCATCAAGTTAATGCTTAGCCATAGTAGCCGACTACATATTCAGCTACTACTTACTGCATGAATTTTCTACACTACATTTTGGCATTTCAAAAACATGAACAAACAATTCCTTACAGCTGATTATAAAATCACATTGTTTTTAAAAACGCTCGTCTGTGTGTTAAATGCATCACCGAACATAACTCTCTCCTCTTTTTTATTGTATGATCATTTTATACTGGTAGCCTAATACAATTGGTATATAGAACTTCTCTTATACGGATACTTAAGAACATTTCAGTTTGTAGTAACTCACTGTCCAGCTGCATCGACCTCCCCCTTTATGACTTCTTTAGCACAAAATCAATTGAGCCTGAATGTAGTTCTGATATTCTGCCATTTCCTTTTTACATTGTCTCAGGAAGGTTTAAACGTAAGTACAGACTTGAGAGTTGAGCAGAGCTTTGAAGATCTTGAAGATTTGTTTGAACCAGATGCAAAATTCAGCTTTGATGCTGTCATTCAGCTTCAGGAAACAGACTGAAAAATGTGTTTAATCTTAGTATTCATTTAAATTTTGTATATTTGTTTAGTTATTTTCTCAAAGAAAGTTGTATACACTGTTGATCTTAGACAAGAAATTAATGAAATGCCTATTCAGCTTAGTTTTTTTTCCAAGAGTTCAAAAACATCCACCTTGAGGTTCAATGTAAAAGAAAACCCCCTAACGTTTTTAAAATAATAAAAAGCTCCCTGTGGTCGTAAACTATTAAAACTTTCAGGCCCCTTTGGTTCAATATTTTTACTCTATTTTATTCTACCATCCTATCAAATCATATTCAAATACATATTTTTTTTAATATTCAAAATTCTCTTCAAAATACAATACTATTTTACTCAACTCAAAATATTTAGATTATTTTAACCCCTTAAATTTGTTAATTTAACTAAATATCTTCAACAATAAAAGTTTATAAATTGATAAAAACACCCCTATCAACTTACATTTGTCAGATTTCGGCCACTACCACCGGAAGGTGGTCGGAATCTACCGTAATGGCGCACTACTAATTTGATATGGCCGGAATCTGCAAATATGGGTGGGTGGTGGTGTTTTTGTCAATTTAAAAACTTTTATTGTTGGTGGTATTTAATTAAATTAACAAACCTAGAGAGTTAAAAATCAATTTAAATATTTTTAAAAAATGCTATTAAAAAACTTCTAATACTACTCAACTCAAAACTTCTAATATTACTCAACTCAACTTTTTCTAAAAGATTATTCTAAAAGCTCTCAAAATAGTGAATCAAACGGAACCAAAACTATTATGAGTAATAAATATCTATTAATACCCTTTTCTCATTTATTTTAACACGTAACACTTAAGGGTAAGAGAATTGATGTTATTTCAAAACCCTTGAAAAGATTTTTGATATTTAACCAAACCTCAAAGTGGTAAATGTCCATTTAGTCTTGATTATGAGAACCCAATTCTGATATTCTGGAATGTAAAACTTAGTACTCGTAATTTTAAAAGCTAAGACTTATATAACTTTTCTCTTTGTGTTGAGAGGTTGAACTTCTATTAATTTATTAAAATGAACAGAAATTTTGAATTTGATATAAAATAAAATTAAGTGGTTTATAGGGGTTGATCAATATTACCGATTTACATCGGACAATTTAACCAAATCTTAACGTGAGACTATCTNCTCGAACCAACTGCATTTTTGTTGTTCTAAAGGACTTCTTCTTCTTCTTCTTCATCTATGGCTGGCTACAGAGCTGAAGATGACTATGATTACCTCTTCAAGGTGGTGTTGATTGGTGACACTGGTGATGGCAAGTCTAATCTGCTTTCCAGGTTCACTAGGAACGAGTTTAGTCTCGAGTCTAAGTCCACTAGACAACCTTCCTCTTCCTCTTCTTATTCTTCGATTGCTTCTTCAAATACTAGTAATAAAGCTCTGTTACCTTCCTCCAGAAGCGGGAACTGAAGAAGAACCGAAGAAGAGAGATATGAGATCTGTTTTGTTTTTTTTTTTCAATAGTTCGCAAATTATTCGCGAATTATATGGGAAGTCTTATTATAAGCGTATAATTCAGCAGATTTCACAAAATACATATACATATGTTTTATAAGCGAATTATACAATTGTTCGTATAATTCACGTATAATACGCGTTTTTACTAATTAGGATTAAAACTTTTAGGCATTTTTATTCTATCATATTCCACTATTCTATTAAATCATATTCAAATACATATTTATTTTAATATTCAAAATTCTCTTTAAAATATAATACTATTCTACTCAACTCAAAATATTTAGATTATTTTTAACTCTTTAGGTTTGTTCATTTAACTAAACACTCCCAACAATAAAAGTTTATAAATTAACAAAAATACTCATACCCATCTACATTTGTCAAATTTCAGCCACATCACCGGAAGGTGGTCGGAATATACCGTAATGGCGCACTATCGACTTGATATGGCCGGAATCTGCAAATGTGGGTGAGTGGAGGTATTTTTGTCAATTAATAAACTTTTATTGTTGGTGGTGTTTAGTTAAATTAACAAACCTAGGGAGTTAAAAATTAATCTAAATATTTTTAGAAAATGCTATTAAAAAATATATAAAAAACTTTTAATACTACTCAACTCAACTTTTTCCAAAAGACTATTCTAAAAACTCTCAAAATAGTGAACCAAGCGGAACCAAAACTGTTATGAGTAATAAATATCTATTAATACCCTTTTCTCATTTATTTTAACACGTAAAACTTAAGGGTAAGAGAATTGATGTTATTTCAAAACCCTTGAAAAGATTTTTGATATTTAACCAAACCTTAAAGTGGTTAATGTCCATTTAGTCTTGATTATGAGGACCCAATTATGATATTCTGGAATGTAAAACGTAGAACTTGTAATTTTAAAAGCTAAGACTTAAATAAGTTTTCTCTTTGTGTTAAGAGTTTGAACTTCTATTAATTTATTAAAATGAGCAGAAATTTTGAATTTGATATAAAATAAAATTAAGTGGTTTATAGGGGTTGATCAATATTATCGATTTACATCGGACAATTTAACCAAATCTTAACGTGAGACTATCTTATAGGGATGAGCATGAAAATTGGTTTTACCCAGAACCGGCGGGTACCCGAGGTCTCGATTCTAGGTAGGAACCGAAACCGGAATCGGCCCACACAGGGTAGGTTCCGATTCTAAAAAATAGGAACTGAGACCCCCTGGTTCTGATTCCGGTTCCTTCACTCTAGAAACCAGGAATCGAAACTAGAACTTGGAATAGGGTACCCTACTAGGAACCGGCAATAGGGTACCCTGCAAGGAACCGATAACAGGGTACCTTGCAAGAAACCGATAACAAGGTACCCTACAAGGAATGGGAAAAGAATTGGGGTTTACACATAATTATATACAACATTAGGGGGTTTTAATAAATTTTATCCCTAGACTATATACATAACTAGTGAACATTTTGGATTCCAGATTTTAGATATAAAGAAGCTATGAATAATTTAATATATAGTCTTACACTATTTATTAAAAGTAAGACTATATATTAAAATTATTTGAAATATTGAAATTAATTAATAAGGAAAAAGTTATATTGTTATAGAATATTTAAACAAATGGGGGTATGTATTTGTAAATTTTAGTATTCTACAGGGTTTTTTGTCATTTTGTAAAGTTACAGGGACCAATGTTATTATCCAGGGTACCCGGAACCTGTGATTATCTAGGGTACCTGGAAGCGGATCCGGAACCTGTGATTATCCAAGGTACCTAGAACTAGAATCGGAACTTGTTTCATAGGTTCCAGTTCCAGCAATTAAGGAACCGAAACTGGTTTGTTCCGGTTTCGATTCCTAATTTTAGGAACCGATCGGTTTCAGTTTCAGTTCCGGTTCCTCCAAAAATCCCCGGGTACCCAAGCTTGATCACCCCTATCTTATATAACTAATTTGTGATGAAATTGGTTTATGTGATTAATTTTAATTGAACAGTCTCACCATATCAAGGAGCATTATGCATACAACTCTAGCTAAAATTGAGATCATTGATTAATTGAACGGGCCATGTTCAAGTTGAGACAATTGATTAATTAAACCATCCGAATTAAAGTTGAGTTAAATTTCTTTATAATCTATTAGAACTCAAGCCCAAGGAAGAGCCCAACCCAAAAGACCGGTCTGATAAATGAGAGAATACCTAGGCTTAAGTACCACATTTGGTGGGTGTGAAATTTCGATGTAGGATCCTAATATTACATCCCCCTTCAAGAGCTACCATTGGGTAGCTTCAATCACCTATCAGTTATTCGATGTAGCACCCCCTCTTAAGAAGAGCACACTGTACCTTAATCTAGCTTATGTGTAGTCTTTTTCGCAACCAAACTCTCAACGAAAGGCACCAATGTTAGAAGTCAAGCCCAAGTGAGAGCTCAATCCAAAGGACCAGTTTGATAGGTGGAAAAACCCCTAGGCTTAAGTACCACACTTGGTGGGTGTAAAATCCTAATGTAGGATCTTAACATAATCATATTTTGACATGATATGAGCATGATCCATCACATATTAACATGAATTGTCCCCCTAAGAAGAGGGGGTCGAAAAATAATTTCATAACTATAGGGATTTTTCTTTGTCGTATCATATCAAAAGTGGGGGAAGTTGTAAAATTTTCATTCTCACTAAAATATAATAACAGCATTGTTCCCGTTTTCTTTCACCTCCTTTATAACTCAGCTGTCACCATTTACGTTCTCTGCAAGAGACAAAAAAGAGAGCGCTTTGGAGACGAAAGAGAGAGAGAGAGTTAAAGAAGTAACAGATCTCCATCACAGTCTTCGTTATGGTAGCTCTCGAACTTCAAGATTAGTTTTTTTTTTTTTTTTTTTTCTTTTTTAAAGCTTCAATAATTTCTTTTAGTGTTTTTCTAATCTAATCAATAATCAACCTCTGATTCGTTAGACTTGCATGCACTTTTAAGCCCAGGATTTAATTTCAGCTAATTTCTTTTTTTGAATCATTTTCTCATTCTTTGTAAGTTGAAGAACTAAATAGTTGAGTTGCCAATGGAAGATTTAAAGATAATTTAAGCGTTATTGATGAAGTAGTAGCTGGTTTTTTTTTTTTTTTTTTTTTTTTTTTTTATTTTAATTTCTTTTGGTTTTGTTTGTCCGGGTTGTTTATTTTACTTGAATTCTTGGTGGGTATTTGATTTCACATGCCGTCATGTGATTTTCTTGGTTTTATTTTGAAGGGTTTTTTGCAACCGGATCCGTTTCTTAATGAATTGACTAGCATGTTTGAGCGTAATAGAGAGAATGGCTCTGTTTGGGTTACTTTCAAACGCTGTAAGTGTTTATTTATTTATTTTCTTCATGTTATGTTATGTTTTCATTTTGTTGGTTTTAGTTAAGGTGGGTTGCAAAATTATGAGGTTTTTGGGTGTTTGCCCGTTATGTTGATTGTTGTTCGTGTGTTCTCGTGTGTTTTAAGCGTCAATGAAGTCTAAGGTTCAAACAAATAAAATGACGACTTCAGGAGAAGCCATTGAGTATCGATGCCTCATCCGTGCAACTGATGGGAAACAAAAGATTTCTACAACAGTATGTCTCGCTTTCTGTATTTTTTTTTCATATACATTTTACAGATCTTGAGAGAATATGGGATATGATAGGCTGTTGCATTGTCATTCGTATTTGCATCTAGTTAGATGTTGTTACATAATTTTCGTGTTGAAGTATACCAAGCAAAGTGATGGTTATGATAAGTGAAAGATAAAGTTAGTGCATTTATGGTATGGTTTTACTGAATCTGCATATGAATTGTGTAATTGACATGAGGAAAGGAGCTTTGTATAAGAATTTGTAAACAATGGTGCAAGAGCACCAACATCTCACATCATTTCTCATTCTGTTTGCTGTTATTTTATTTTATTTATTTTTAAAATTATAACTGATAGACTTTGCACTGAATTAGAAAGGGGAGGTAAAACTGTTTGTTGTAATTTGTTGTTGGTTTCTCCCTATGAGTTTTCTATTTATCTTCTAGCATTTCTAATCACCCACCAATGAGAAGCATCTCCCTTTAACAAATAATTAAAAATCTTGACTTGTTTTATTGTACGTTTGCTAGCTTTGAATTTGTCTCTGGAAGGAGGTATTTTGGTGCCTAAGTATGTCTTTACAGCCTTGTAGATTTGGTTTTTTACTAGGCATCAGAGTTTGTTTATGACTATGGCCAGTTGAGATAAGCAATTGTTGAAGAGTTTAAGGAAGTGAAACAAGGAGCAGTATTGGATTTCATGGGCGAAAAAACTTGGGCTGTTGAGACATATTAGGCAGCAAAATCACCTTCCAACGACAGACTCAAATTTCACAATCTTGAGAAAGAACATTTCAAGGTTGTTGATTATAAAGGTAGATTGATTTTCACTGGTGGTATTATTCAAAAAAATAAAATAGAAATAGAGAAGCCATAGGTAGAAAACCAAGATTCATTTTATAATTAATCAATGCTGTTAGCAATGAATAACCAAAGCCTTTATCTAGTTTAAGAGATAGAATTCTAATCCTGATTAAATATGAAATAAAGTTTAAAACAACTCGAGGACAAAATAAATTTTTAAATCAATCTTGACAAATCAATCAATAAAGCAAAAAGCTCAATTAACCTTAACCTATCCTATTTATCCTACATCAAGTTATATATTCTGGCATAGTGGGACTGTGAGTGGTTCCTAACTAGGTACTGCCTGGCCCTCCTTTTTCTCTGCACACTTCGGCTTCACACACCAGCTTAAGAAAATAGGAAATGATTTTGCTGTTTGTTCATGTTTGCCTACAACCTGTTTGATTGTAGCCTAGAAATATCTCATAGCATGGATCTCCACTTCACAATGCTGTTTCGTGTCAGTGTCTTGTGTGACATTTAGTGAAATGAAAAATCCAGCTATCATTTAAACTACCAAAACTTGTGTTATCACAAAGGATAAACTAGAGGAAGGGTTTGAAGTACTTTCTCTATGCTAACATATATTTAAACGATGTAGATGCTTTTCTTATTCCCTTTATAGCTTACCACTAATAGAAATCTAACATTTTATTTTTCTTTCAGCTGCCAAAATTCCTGAATTGAGCTTTTAAATTGTGTGATTGTATCTTAGTAGGAAGATTTATTAATTAATATTGATTGTTTAAACATTTTATTTTTCTTTTGGGTGCCCAAATTCCTAAGTTTGTGAGAATTTTGGTTGTGTAATTGTATCCTGGTAAGAAGATTTTAAGTGACGTGGATACTGGGGACTTGATCAGATACAGTTATCAAAATTTTGTTCAGTAATAATTATAATGTATATTACAAGAACATTGATTCTCAATTCTTTGCCTAGTAGGCATGATCATATGAGGCAATAGTTTTTCCTCTTGCTCTTCCTCTCTATTTATGTTTCTCCTGGCTAACGGCTGCCCCTGATTTTGTTGAAAAGGTTGGGGCGAAGGATCACCAGCGCTTTCAAGCTTCTTACGCTACTCTTCTCAAGGCTCACATGGCAGCTCTAAAGAAGAGGGAGAGGAAGGACAAGAAAAAGGCTGCAGAGGGAGATAAAAAGGACGGAGGTTCAAAGAAAAAGCCGAAGAGAGTGTGAACAAGTCTCTTGCTACCGACACCTCTGTATAAACTGGGAAAGCTTTTAATTTTCTTCTGATATTTGGTACTGGGATCTTTTGCTTAAATGGAAAGAAAAGATCATACAGAAGTTCTTTCAATTTTGAACTATAACGGAGGTACACGATACGGGATTTTGTTTCACAGCCCCTTTTGAAATGTGATTTCCATTCTCTGATCAGGTTGAATGTTATCTGGAAAAATATGCAGCCGGTCTGTTTTCAGCCTTTTGCGTTGTAGATTTTTTTGATCCAGAATTTCATGAAATTGAAATTGGCATTAGAAGATTGGATGAATGATTTTGTTTGCTCAGTAGAATGTGATTAAATTGCCTTCATCTATGGGCACATCTTTTTGATTATTTTGTTCTTGGGTCATAAATGTTTTATATTAGAGTTCAGAAGGGTAAACACCATTTTCTACACTAAATCCTCCACTCTTCATGCTTGCAATTTGAAAACATGCCCATCAAACTTGTAGTGACTTTAATAGTAGCAATTTATTACAATTTCTACAACTTCGTGGAAATTTGTCAAAATTTCTGTCAAGGAATATACTTTGGGGCTGATTCCATAAGCTAGACAAGAAACATCATTCTATTGTTTGGATTCTACCTTCATTCCATGAAATAGTTTAGAAGCAAATAATATCCATCAGAAAATTGTACTAATATCATATACACAAGGAAGTTATAAATGCTCCTTCTGTTTCCATCTCTTCAGCTTTAGCTAAATAACTATGCAACCCGTTGTAGTTTCAGCCTTCAGGTGGGATTGATTGATGGGGAAGTGCCTCAGGATGCAGAAATAAACAGTGAATGTATTCATTCCGGTAATATTACACGACCAGTACATTAAGAAAATAGAGAGAGCTGGGAATCTCTTGTAGCCTCTGCACCTTAACAAATCCCCAAAGTGAAAGAATAATTGTCTATAAAGTGAAATGAAACTTCTGAAATGTAAGTTCAGTTTCTGTCACTGGAAACATACAAGAATTTTTGCAGCTTCGAGGCATTTAAACTATTTCCATGTTTAAAGCCTGAAGAAACATGGAAAGGTTTAGATTGTTTTTCATGTTTCTGTCATATTGTGCTTAACCTGCCACTTTCACTTGGATGAGAAAATCTGGACAGAAACTTTCTATTGTCCAGCAAATGAACAAAACTTTTCCGACTCTTGGCAACCTAAAATGCAAGTCTTGAATCTTAAGTCGATTAAAGTTTCAACTGCTATACAAGAATTGCTATAAGCTAACAATACAACATCAAAATTGATCTTCGTCATCTCGGGAAACAAAAAAGTATTAATGCTAGTCTCACCTTAAAAGTAGCACAAGTTTGCAAGATGAGCAGGAAGAGAAATAAGGGAAAGGCGAAAGGGAAAGATGATTGCCACAAAATATGGGATTATAATCCATCATCATTATCGTTATCATTATCATTATCGTCATCGTCTTCCTCTTCTTCTTGTGATTCCATGTAAGCCTCAAGCAAACGCCTGTACTTCTCTGGATTGTCATACCATGTAGGGGTATTAATAATTGCTTTTTCCAACCAATACTTATCATCGTAAGATTCCTCCGGCTTGAAATTTTCCAGGAAACTTTCCCACCATTCCATTGCATTTGTTAAACGAACACTCTTGTAACCTCTTCCAAAGAGATACTTCAGGTAGTCCCTTGCTAACAGAGTCAGCTCCTCACCAGTAAGGATGTACATATACTGCAATGAATCAAGTAAGATAGTGATTATGGGAAGGTTACACCATTTCTGAACTTGGAAAAATCAAAACCTAAATGTCTTTTCTCAGGACATTACAATAAAGCATATAATATACTCAATGTAGCAAAGATGAAGGGAAAAAAACATTTTACCACAAATATAATGCCAAGTGTTGCTAATATGACTTGTGCAGTTTCATCTATGATCCCACCCCAGCCTTCATCCTCTGAATCACCAGAACCATCCCCACCACCACCACCACCACCACCACCACCACCACGTGGTGGACTTTTGCCACCACTTCCATCAAAGTATTCTTTCTTCTCCATCTGCTGCCGAAGCATACCCTCTACAGACTGTCCCTTAGTGAAGTTTCCCAAATTTCCCATAGCTTTCCCAAAAGCATCCCACGGAGATTTCTGATGAAAGATAAATGGTCAGATGTACATAATTTTATGGACAGCAACGCTACTTTCCGACAAAAATTTGAGCATCTCATGCACCATCCTCTCAGCTCTAACAAGATGGTGAGGCCTCCATACTGTGAGCTTTGGAAAATAAAATGACCTCTTTATTTTCTAATTATTATTTTTTAACAAAAGATTGGTTTTCCCATTATTCCTTTGCAGATTCAGTATGTAATAATTGATATCAAAATAAAAATAATTAAAAAAAAAAAAAAAAAGCAGACATTCTTGCAATGACAGAAACAAGTTTTCACAAGGGATAAACAGTGCATAAAGAAGTAAAATTGAATGCATCAATAAGATGCAACTGACCACTAAGAATAAACAAGACATTTAGCATCAAGAATAAAGTTAATGTACTTCAACACTTAAGCTTGTTCTAAAACTTAACAGCATAGAGCTTATGCTAATAAATAGACAAGCTGAAAATGTATTTTACAATTCTTTATCTTTTCTATTTAAACAAAAAAGATACTTTATGGTGGACTTTTGTGCATAAAGTTACAATTTACAATGCAGTTAATTCCAATCATCAATAAACCAGGTCATAACCAAGAGACAGCCCACTCAGAATATCAGAACTTTGTGGCTGCAAGAAGGGAAATAACAGCAGAAAACCAATCATTTGTATTTCCTTCTTTTCTTTCATTGAGAAAAGACATAGAAATCCCTTGAATCTATTTAGCAAATTCCAGCTTGAAAATGCATCCTCATTGAGCCCTATGATAATCTCTGAGTTGTGGAGGAGAATAGTGGCATTTCCTCTAGTAAGTAGCCAAGAGAATACCTCACGAAGGGAAGCCACAGGCCTAACCCCTTGACTAACTCATAGGGGTTGCTAATTCCAACTAGTTGAAGTACATTCCCATCCTATCATGAACTTATATCAAACACATTATCACCAACAAACAAACACTTACATTGAAAGTGCTTCTTTCTTACCGTATCTTCAGACTTGTCTTTATCACCAAACAAGCAAACAACCGTGCTTCCTTGCCAAGATTTTAACCGAGGTGCACATTGCTTATATGTTAGTTTCAATAATGTCCCATGTGTCGTACCAGGTACACGCTGCAATTGGGATCTATTTGGGAGAGTTACACAAGGCTTGCCTACACTAGTAGCCTGAATACAACTCATTCTTCACCAATCCTAATCCCACATAAAATTAACCTAAACAAACAAAACAAAGATCAAATTTCAATAAACTGCAAGCATAATGATATGTGAAGTGCTAAACGATAACCCTAGAACTATGTTTTGATGTTTTGAGGCCATGGACAAAGCCCCATAGAGCCTTCAAAATCACACTCTCAATCAATATTTTTTAGTCAATTTAAACATAGAAAAAGCCAGAAAGGCAATATACTGAAATTAAAAACACTAATAACTTAAAAAAAAAAAAAAAAAAAAAAAGAAAAAGAAAAACCTATCTGAAAACCAGAACCCATTAACCCAAAGGCCTCCCCCTTACCAATTTTTTCATCATTTCATAAAACAACTATTTCCAAATAGGCTTGTTTCAGTGAAATAAGTTAATAATCATCTAATTAAGAGCAGGAAATAGAGGTGAACAGCTCAAAAATCTCACCTTTATCCAACATTTCTAACTTGATTTTAACACAGCCAAGGCGATAACCTCAAATTCCAAACTTTAATAAATTTTAATAAAAAAAAAAAAAACCCTGAATGTCAAAACCACAAACCATTACCCCATTAAACAAACCCAAAGGCCTCCCTTCACCAATTCTTTTCACAATTTCATAAACCATTTTGTTTCAATTAGATTTATTTAAATAGATATATGTTCATAATCATCAAACTAAAATCATAAACAGGAATTCAGTCTGCTAATTCTAGCAAAAATGCTAAAAGGAACGCAAAAAAATGAGAGCTGAGAAGCTCAAAAATCTCAAAAAAGAAATAAAAAATAAACAAAGAAGGGAAAAAATGCAAAGTAGGGAAACCCACGTACCAGAAGAGAAGTACAACTTATATGATCGAGAGAGAGACAGCATGAGACTGGAGATTTTGAAGAAGGGAGGAAAGGAGAGTGTGAAGTGGTTATGGCGATGAGTCGAAACGATAACGAGAAATCGAGAATTTCTAGATTGAGGTTAAGGAGATTAAAGAAGATAGTTCTTTAGTTCTAACCAAAGTATACCTTCTCTGACTAAAGTGCCCCTATATGTAAAACTTGTCCCTCCCTCCTATGTTCCAATAACTTTGGGAAAAGGGAGAATGAATTCTCGCACGCAAGGTCTGGCAAAACAACACTTTCCCACGCATCAAATTTCAAAATAACATTTTCTCACCTTTGGTCAATTTCTGAAAGTGTTTTTTATTAATATTTGATTGAGAAGATAAAAATATTTTTAAATAGTTTATTATAAATTAAAATTTAATTAAGTTAAAATCTTTACTCATTATTTATTAGTTCAAGTGTATAAATATTTTTTTTTTATTTAATTAATTAAGAATATTGATTTTTTATGTTAATTAGTAAAAACGAAAAATATTATAAATCTAGTAGATTATTGAATAATAGTAATGAGATATGATATTATAAATAAATAAATATTAAAATCATTTAACTTTAAACAATTTCATAGTATTATTCTTAACTTTTTAGGTGGAGTTAACTATTTTTTCTTTTTCGACTTTTTGGCTAATAAAAAATTTATAAAGTCAAATATTTAAGGTATTTTCGTCTTTTTATTAAAATATTAACGGAAAACATAACATAACCTAATAAAAGGTGAGAAAATGTCATTTTGAAACTTGAAGAGTGGAAAATTATGTAGTTTGGCCAAACCTTGGGTGGGAAAATGATTAACTTTTAGATTATAATGTTGCTCCTTTGAAGAGGTTAAGATTATGAACGCCGGTAACATCATCATTGTTACACTTGTTGGATTATGGATGGTCGACTCTTAAATATGTTGTTATTATTGGGCATGTTTGACTTATTATTTCTGCCCATATTCCCAATCCTATTTTCCAAATAATGTTTGGCACCTTATTCCAGAAATATTACCATATTTTTTTAATTACATTTAAACCCCATAAGGTTATTAATTTCATTAAATACCCCCTAAAAAAAGTTTAAAAAATAACAAAAATACCCCTGTAACCCATACTTGCCAGATTCCAACAACCACCGTCGGTGGTAGCTGGAATCTGTCACAACGGTGAATTACCGACCAAAAATGGCCGGTAATTCACCGATCTGGCCTCTTCCAGCCAGATCCACATTGGATCTGGCTGAAAAAGGCCAGATCTGCCAAAGAAATGGCCGTCGTTTTGGCCTTTTTCGGCCGTCGAAGGCCACAGCAGGCCGTAGATCTGGCTGGAAAAGGCTATAACGACGCGTTACGACATAGATCAGACCGGTCTGTGTCGTAATGCAATTTTCCGACCAGATTTCGACGATGGTGGCCGGAATCTGGCACTGTAGGTAGTGGGGGTATTTTTGTTATTTTATATGTTGGGGTGTTTAATTAAATTAGTAAACCTAGGAGTTTTTCTATAAATTTTACCTCGTAATACTCCCATATTCAACTACCCAATATTATTCCTAAAATCCTATCCAAAATAATGAACCAAACGCACCCATCGATACTTGTAAGAAAATTTTGATATCGCATGAAATAATTAGATTATAAATAATCCACACTTAAACTATAATATTACTTTTCTGTAAGGTTATGAGGGCTCCATGCCTTCTTTGTAATAACAATTAGAGTACGATTACATCATGTATAGTCTATAAATCCCCCTGTTTCGTATGTGAAACTAAAGTTTGAAACAAAAACCCACCCTCAAATATTTGCAAAATAGATGGAAATGGCCTTTGGAGTTTAATTTAAACAAGTGGATATCTTATGGAATTTTGTTAAACGAAAATGCAAACCACATGATAGGTCACAAACCATTGAAAATTTAGATTTTTCTAGAAATTTCCATACAAATTCAACTCTTTTATATAAATTTATTAGGTTTCTACCATATGGTACATGAAAGAAAAAATTTCCATTGACAAAATACAATGCATGCCTTACATCTTTAAGTAGATTAAAGTTTCAATTCCTGTACACAAAAATGTTTTTTAAGCTAATGATATGACAGAAATATTAATCGGTCTCTTGAACCATCTCAAAGGACAGAAAACAAGTGCTAAAGCTAGTTTCACTTCATTGTTGCAGGCAATATGCAAGATAAGCAGGGAAAGAGGATAATGCAGGGCTTGGGGGAAAATGTTGGATTACTGGGCATCATTTTGTGAAGATATGTAAGATCGAAGAAGACGCCTATAATTGGGACAGTGGAACCATGTTGAGGTATTCATCTCTAACCGAAACTTCTCACACACCTTCTCTGTCAGGCTTTTCCAGAACCTTTCCCACTTGTACATTGCGTTTTTTAATCGGACACTCTTTTTTCCTCGAAGGAGATACTTTATGTAATCGTTTGTTAATCGTGTCAGCTCAACACCATCAATGAAGCAAATGTACTGCAATGTAATAAATATGGCATGAGATACAGAATTTCTGAAGTAGGAGACTGAAATCCCCATAAATCGTCTTTTTCTCAGAAACATTTGTTACACTACAGCATATGTTATAATCAGCATAGCAGAGATGATATCTTGTATACCAAACCGTGGTCTCTTGCAACATTAAGATATAAAAAAAAGACAATACTGATGTAGCATGAAATGTTTGCAGATAAGTATAAAACGACAAAGAGATAAAACACTTGAATATCCACAATACAATTTCACAAAGTTTTGGTGATTAATATGGCGGGATCAAATAACTTTTATAGGCCAGGAATCATTCTTTTACCTGTCCAATAACACATGATCCTCCATTTCTTACATGCACCTTTTCGTGCACGAAATTATTTATTGAAATTTGGCCAAACATTGTTAGTTATTTTCATTTGAACCCTCGAAATATACTGACCATCAATTACGACAGATCTATACCATATATAACACAATGCTTTCAATAAATGAACTTGGGATTTAGAGACAGTTTAATATTAGTTTAGGGCAGCAGCTATCGATTTTTTTTTTTTCTTTTCAATATTTTGTTTCACTTGACTTGTCTGAATATGCAGATTATCAGTTATTAGAGATGTACAGTATTTCTAGCTCTGATTATTGCATTTTAGGTGAATGATACTTCCATTATCTGCACCTTTCCCCACGATTATTACTATCTAAAAACTACAAAATTAGCAGTACGCTAAAGAATTTGCAATTTCTATGCAGCCTGAATTAGGATATTTAGAATAAGACTTAAAGATGATTTCTGACAAAACTGAATAAAAGTACGAAGAAGAAGAAAAAAGATCACTTTACCACAAGTATGACAAAAATCGTTGCTAATATTCGTTTTCCAGTTTCATCCCCTGAATCTCCATAACCATTTCCGCCGCCGCCGCCGCCACCACCACCACGTGGCGGACTTTTGCCACCACTTCCATTGTAATATTCTTTCTTTTCGATCTGCTGCCGAAGCAAATCCTCAATTGACTGCCCCTTCAAATTTCCCATATTTTTTCCAAAAGCTTCCCATGGTCGTTTCTGATGAAAATAATAAGTAGAATATCAGGTTATATAATTGGATAAGGGACTCCATAGTATATGTTTCCAAAACAAAATAGTGGCTTTCGTATTGTGCCCTTTGCAAATGCTGCTGTTCATTAATTGATACCAAAAACAAAAAAAAAAAAAATTGTAAAAACTGCCACTCTTGCTATAGAAGAAAAAGAGAACTCTCAATGGTTAAAGAGAGCACAACATCTGAGAAGCAGCATTTTACATTTACCATAAAACTAAACAAGACACATCAATCTTGCTCTCCAACTCAAAAGCATTAGAGCTTAAACCAATAAAAATACAAACCAATAATGTGCTTTATGTTTTTTGTACACAAAGTTCAACTCCAATGTAGTCATTTCCAAAGCATAATGAAAACACCACAAAGACTTGAACAACAAATTTAGTGGAAAATCAACATCCTCTGGTCAGAAATCCATTACGAAGTGCTCTATCAAATTTTCTATAAAAAAGACAGGTGAATAGAGATATTGCTGATATATATATTTATATTTTGGGAAAAAAAATTAGGGGACTTTTTCAAAATAAACATCTCAATATGATTTTGCACATCTAGCCAACTTCGATACTTTCAAACAAAAATACCCAAAAAACTAGCAACACTCAACAGCCATGTGGAATGCCTCTACTTAATGCTGAGCATGGAAACTGCATTTTGGTCCATTCGGATGAAAATGACGCTAAATGTGAAGAATATCGTGAGGCAGATTATCTCCAAAAAGCACTTGAAATAGGGTTATTTCTAAACCCAGCCCAAAAAACCAAGTTTATGCAATTCAACCTACCCAGAGCATTGAGAAAGACAGATTATACCACAAATACAGCCCAGTCAAAATCTTTTACCAAAGCTCTCGAATCAATATGACCGAGTGAATTAATTCTGGTTTAGCATAAAGCAACCTAGATAAGAGGACCCAGGAGCCCCAACCAGGTATGAAAACAACATAACTGACTCGAAGCACTGACTGGGACTCTCAAGAAAAAGCCAGAAATGTAATTCATAAGGGATGAATTCTATATAAATTCCGAACAAGAATTCAAGAAACACATTCCCATTCTCTTATCTCTTTGAGAACCCCGATCAAACACATTACAATCATTTACAAATCACCACGAAACAAATACGCACAAAGACTAAAACAGAAAGGGCTTCTTTCTTACCTCGTCTTCGGACTTGTCTTTCCCTCCGAGAACACACATAACCCCTCGTTTTTGCCGCCCTTTCAACTTAGGCACGAATAGCGGGTACGACGTCGTTGCATTCAGCTTCACCAATGCCCGCCTTGTCGTGCACGGCACGCTCTTTAAGTGAGCCCTGTTCGGCAGAATCACACCAGGCTTGCAAAAACCAGTCCCCTGAACACAACTCATCATTCAACAATCAAACTTATCCTGAAAAAAACAACAAAATTAATTAATTTAATCTTTTAAAAAAAAAAAAAAGATTTTGTAAAGAGTTCTTAATTAAGATGAATAAATTTGAGAAAAAATAAATAAAAATTCTGGATTACGCACATGAAATGATTCTATTGGTTGGAATTGAAGAAAGTTTTGTTTTTTGTTTTATTGAAGGGATTAGTGAAGGGCTGATGTTAATCAGGCAAATTCGTGAAGGAAAATTAGTATAAATATTAAATAGTCCCGTTTAAGGCGGTGGAAGGACTGTCGGAGGCGGCTTCAAAAACCGTTTCTGACTGCACCCCAAGTTTTACTGAGTACACCCATTTTAACTTAATTTAATTTTCTTAATTAATTATAATTATCCCTATATTATATTATTTGGAGAAATATAACTTCATGTTCCATCAAGATACCGTGCATCTTTCTAATAATTAATAAATAAGAAAATAGATAAAATTTCATCAATATTAAGAGGTTTTAATGTAGAATGACCACTGTGCCCCAAATTCATCCTCTTTTGGTTATTTATTCTGGAGTGAATAACAAATTCAGCGTTCAGGTTTAGTGAGAATTCCAGCACAACCAAAGATCTCGTAGAGTAACAAAATGCCCCAATTTTCAATAAAACTTTTGAAAAACAAATTTTGACACAACCTTTTTGTAATCACCATTTTACCCTCTCATGTAGTATACTTTCTTGATTAAAACATTTTTTTTTATTTTTTTTAATGACTGGAGGTGTTCGGACTAGCTTGCACGTATCTTAACTAGTGAGAACTTGAACTTAGTAGACCATATTAGACCCTAGAACTAGAGGTCGGATAAGAGCTCTAGTGGCCCCAACTAATGAGAACTTAAACTTGGGATACCATATTAGACTCTAGAACTAGAGGTTGGATAAGAGCTTTAGTGACCATTCCTATTAGTGGTGGGGAACTCGAATTTGGGAGATTATGTTATCAAGGATTATGAAAACTCGAATTTGAGAGACTATATTAGATCCCATATTTTTCCATAAAGAACAATATTTTAAAACCCAACCCGGGGTGAAACTTGGCAAAGTTTTCCGGTCTCGGGTTGACCAGAAGTCAAATCAGTTGACAAAAAATTTTAAAACTCAACAAATACACCTTCAAAAATTACCTGCAAGTCCTTACATGTTTGAACTTTATCAAACACACCCCAAATGAAAATCTACTGACTACTAATCGGCAGCGGCGACACCCCAGATGCAACCCCGATCGTCCCCTGAGCCCATTTCCATTAAAATCTACCCAAGATCTGGCCGAAATAGGTTCGATTTCTACCAGATCTCACCGACGCTAGCGTGGGTATTCCAAGCCAGATCTCATCCACGCCGACGCCGACAAACCTCCCCATCACCCAGAAATTACTCCTCTGTTCCTCCCGACCAAAACCCACCTCACCCCACCCCCGTTAGCCTCGCCAATAGCGGGAAAAATCTCATTGTTGCCGCTGCTAGGTTTGTTCGATTTTCGATCGATTTACTCACCAGAAATCAATGCTGTCACCACCATTGCATTCACCGGAACTTAGTCTTCAAAAGCCCTAACTTCTAGCCATTGATTGTTCGCCGATCATCCTCCCAAATCTTAGGGTTTTGGGGTGAATCGGAAAAATTAAACTCGGTCCTTTGAAGCGGTCGGGTCCCGGTTAAACTGGTTCAACCGGCCAGGCCGGGCTAGGTTTTAAAACAATTAAAGAATACTCGAAGGCCACCCAATAGTGGTTTATTAAAACGAAAACTTAATGTACTTGAAATTGTCTCTGATTTATATGGTTATTTTCGTCTGTTCGAAGATTAATTGACTATAAATACCCAAATAATTAAAACTTTTATAATTATAACCCTTTTCTCTCAGGCAGTTCCGCTCTTCTCAGCTTTCAGGCACAGACTTGCGTTTGAGAAAGAGAGAGAGAGAGTGGCGACTGTTCGGACATGGAGATTGAATCTCATTACGAAATTGCCACCACCGCCGATTTCATATACAGCAGAAAGTTTACCAGAGTCGCTTTGCAGGTAACTCATAGTTGAATTTTATTTTTTTATTTATTCATCCGTCTTTACTAAACCCTATCAAAACCTCTCGCGCGTAATTTTTGAAAATAAAAATTAAATGTTTTCCCAATTAAAATAAGGGTAAAATATTGTCAATTGAGCCAGTTCGTCATGTTATGCATTGAAGTATTGAGCTTTCTTAATTGAAGAATGAAAATTTGTTATTTTTATTGCTTTTTTCTGATATAATTTTCTCGCCAACCAAACGGAGAAATTTTCTTTTTTCCTTTCTTTAAACAAATACAATAACGTCACAAACATGTGTAAAGTATAATTATTTCTCATATTTGAGTTTCTGTATCGAATTAATTCTAAATGTGTAATGCATGCAAAATGTTATATTCGTTGGATATTTGTAACTGTTCATTTTTGTACATGATTTTAATGCTATTTTATTGGGCGGCTTTATATCTTTTATAACTTGAGACGTGGTGATTCTGACGAGAATGCTGAACATATGAAGCCCAACTTTTGGTTTTGTAAATTATAAATTGTCTGATAAGATATCGTGTTGTTTACATTGAGTAAATTTTTGATCGTGTGAGCAAAAATTTATGTGAAAATGTAAGTGCATTACGATTATTATAAGTGTAATGTATTTATAAGAATTTTTTTTTTGGTTATAGTTCCCGGATAATTTATTGAAGGATGCAACAAGAGTAGTGCGTGCTCTGAAGGCCAAGCTTTTGTCTCTGAGAGATTCTGGGGAGGAACATAATGGGGATAACAATGATGTTGGATTGTATGTGATGGCAGATACAACTTATGGAAGTTGTTGTGTTGATGAGGTCGGAGCATCTCATATTAATGCTGACTGTGTCATACATTATGGACATACGTGTCTTAGCCCGTGAGTTTTCTTATACTAATTTTTTCTTTGGTGTATATATATTATTATGAATGAAAATATATGTTGCAATTCTTTCTATTAATTTGTTAAATAGAGCTGATGGAATTTTTCTGCGGTTTTGCTTTCTTTTTCTTTTCTTTTTTTTAAATTTTTTCTTTAACTTTAAGCACACTTGATGGAACTTGAGATTGTCTAGTAGCAAAATGATTAAGGCAGATGAAAACTTTTGGCACAGGAAGACTGGGTTATGAGTTTATGTTTTATCCACTGTGGTTGAAGAACTTAAATGTAATATATTTTGGTTTGCGTACTGGTGGTCTTTTCTTCAACTGCTGAGCTTTGAGTTTTGTGAATGCTGCAATTTTGTTAAGTGATCTGTTTTCTGTACTGTTGATTATGGTTGAACTCTACTTCATATGGTTTTCTTTAAATGGGATATCTTTATCTTTTTGCTTACAGGACTTCAACACTTCCTGCATTCTTTGTTTTTGGAAAGATCCCCATCAATGTACCCAATTGTGTGGAGAATCTATCAAAGAATGCTTTGGCAAATGAAAAACCTATTTTGGTATGATTCTTTATGCTAGAGTTCCAATCTTTTTTATTCTGAGTGGACTTTTCACTTTTATATGCAATAAACAGGTGTCAGAGATGAAAATACAATGTGTTTCTTTCTAGTCCACATTTTAAATAGCATACTTTTTCTTTATGTTGTATTGAAATATTGCCTGAACAGCCTATTACATTCTTTTGCTGTAATAATTATTGGTTTCTTTAAAGTGCAGATTCTTTATGGGCTGGAGTACGCACATGCAATACCTCATATTAGAGAAGCACTGAAAGAAGCATTGAGCTCTGATGTGTCTGGACCTAAATTAGAAATCAATTATGCTAATGTTATGTGTACAGTTATAAATCCATCTGAAAATCATAAAAGTATAAATGAGCCAGCTAGTGGCTCTCCTGCTGATGATATTTCTGGTGCAGTAACTGGTACGAGGTATGCCATTGGTGGCTTGACCTGGAATATTCCAGAGGGACATAAAATGGAGGACTACTTGCTTTTCTGGATTGGCTCTGACAATTCAGCTTTTGCAAATGTCGTATTGACATTTAACAGTTCTGAAATAGGTAGATAATTTCTGTTTTTGTCATGAAACTTATTGCCAAATTTCTTTGATATATTTATTTTCATATATAACATCTCTCTCTCTCTCTCTCTCTCTCTCTCAACTTTTTGTTTACTCTTCTGAATACTTTTGACATAGAAAAAAAGCTGCTGCTTTACATTAATTATAATTCAGCAAAAATGTGGTGCACATCCTCATGTCTTCTTGTTTAGCTGGCAATTGATTGTTTCATTATTTACCTTGCATGTGGCTGGACTTGATAATGATTTTCTTTTCCCTCTTCAATGGTTTTTGTTTGATGTGGGTAATGCTGGTTTTAGTCAGATATGACGCAGCAGAGGAGCGCTTGGTGACAGATGTATCTCACCGGTTAAGAATTCTTAAGCGTAGGTACTATTTGCAACAATTTCATCTTCCCCTAACCAACTTTACCTGTTATTTCCTTGTGTTGCTGAAATTTATATCCTATATATTTTTATGTGAGAAATTAGATATATAATCTATCTCTACTTCTTTTATATTATTTTATTTTATTTTTTTGCATTATTGTGTGATTCACTGTGTCAGCAACAATTCTTTCAGATATTACTTGGTGGAGAAAGCAAAGGATGCTAACATTATTGGAATTTTGGTTGGAACTCTTGGTGTTGGTATGTTGAAATTTCTATGATTCTTTAGTCTTTCATATGTTGCAAACAAATTGTGTAAGAATTGAACCATGGGCTTCTAAGTTTATGTTGTGCACAGCTGGCTAGGTAAATGTATATAGAGTAGTACTCGGGTCAATTTCATTGCTAATATTGTAATTTTGCTTCTTTGTTCATGTGCTTTTTAATTGATTCTCTAAATAATCCTGAGAATGAAATAGTTGGCAATACCCAAGAACACTAGCAAAATAAATAAACTCGACTTGAGTCACCAATTTCATTATTTGTACACTTTAAAGAAGTAAGACAGTCTTCTTAGTGTGACATTGTTAAAGTTAAAATTGATTTTGCTGTACTATAATATGTTTCTTCTCAATTTTTTCTTGGTTTTAAACTTCATTTATGCTTAGGGTTTAATCGCAACTTCGATTATGTATCATGAGGTGGAGAACTTAATTTTGCTACTATTCGATGCAGCTGGTTACCTTGATATGATTCATCAGATGAAAGAGTTGATCACCAAAGCAGGGAAAAAGACCTATACTTTTGCTATGGGAAGACCAAACCCTGCAAAACTTGCAAACTTTCCTGAGGTAAGTCTTAATAGATGCACGCAGAGTGTCTGCCTCCGTGTTAAGAAAGTTATATTGTTAGTAATGACAAGTAATATATGTGGCAGTGCGATGTTTTCATTACTGTTTCTTGCGCTCAAACTGCTCTTTTGGATAGCAAAGAGTTCTTTGCTCCAGTTATAACCCCATTTGAAGCCATGCTGGCTTTCGGCAGGTACTGTATAAGATTTCCTTTCTCTCACCAGTTGCTGGAGTTCTTTGTTGTTTAATATAGCTTTTTCTTTAATACCTAGAAGCACCATCTATTCATGATTATAGATTCAAGTAATTACCCCTGAATTTTGGTTTCATGTTTTCATCCTTGGATTCTTAAAGTTCAAATTTTATTTTTTTTCTCTTTAGAGGACGTCAATGGACAGGAGCATATGTGATGGAATTTAGGGATTTGATTAGTTCTTCTCCAGTTGAAGTAAGGAATCAGGCAGAAGAAGCAAGGTTTTCCTTCATTAGAGGTAGATATGTGGAAGATACTGACCAGCAAGGTACGTGTCTCACATTTTGTTGAGGCTTTGAGATGGAAATGATTTGACTGTTCAGTGCAACACTAGGTTTCTAAATTCATTGAAGATTCCAGTAGACAATCTTATTTTTGTTAAGTTTTGCATTTCTGAAAACTTTTGTGTTGTTTCAGAAACATTCAATGATGAGCAAGGTGAGGAAGGAGCTCTTGCTCTAGTAACTGCAGCAGAGAAGGCTCTGCAATTGCGTGATGGAAATGTTAATCATCTCGTCAAGGGGACAGCTAAATCTGGAGCAGAGTTTTTCTTAGGTCGATCTTATCATGGTCTTGAAATACATGGTGACGGTTCTTCACCAGAGCCATATATAGTCGGTAGAAGTGGTAAGGCATCGGGGTATGAGGATGAGAAAAGCAAGCAGGAAAGTTAAGTTGGTGATTTCACTTGTTAAACTTATGGAAAAGTAAAAGCAACAGAGAGGTCCCCCAGCATGCATGACTTATTGGTCACATTAACTCTCCAGACAAGAATTTCATAAGTGTGGGACTTGTGTCAGTGGGTTGTTGAATTGTAAGAACTGGAAGGATCATTACAACCTGATCTGCTGGTAATCTGGTGTTGCTGTTGGTTAAATTTCAAGTCTTCTCCAGCAGACTTGTAATCCATGCTCGGCATGCTGCAGTTCAAGCAAAACTGTCTCCATCAAAGGCCTTGAAGTAAGTTTTTCTTCCTATTTGAGTGATATCTGGCATTCATTAATTCAAGAGCGTCTGTGTTGGTCAAGTTTTTGATAATGTGGGATTAATGTACACTGGAGTAACAATTTTCTAAGAGATTTTCTTTTCAGTTTATGTTAGATTATCCGGAATGTATCAGTAAGTTTTAATTATTTTTGAAGAAAGTCACATCCCCTTCTTAAATGTTTCTAGTTCAGATATTGTTTCTTCTGGTCTTGCCCTGAAGCTGTAATTCTAATGGCATATATTTTTAGACCAAAGGTGATTTGATTCTGGAAGCCTAGTTCTTGCTTTATGGTTATTTGCTTCGACACGATTTTTAGATCCTTCTTCAGATTGGAAAATGACAGAAGATTTGTTTTAGCTCCACAGCTTTGTTTTAAAAATCAGACCGGATTGGTCGGTTGGATCGGGACCTGGTAGCTTCTTCGGTCTGGTTCAGGTCTTAGGGGGTTTTTGTAATATTTCAAAATTATAAGGGTTAACTTGTAATTTTATAGGGATGTTTTGGAGATATGTCAAAAGTTTAGGGATTAATCGGTAACTTTTTGGGACATATTTTAAATAAATAAAAAATTTCGGGATTAATTTGAACTTTTTTAGGAGAATTTTTGTAATATATTAAAATGTAAGGGATTAATATGTAATTTTTTAAAAATAAAATTGTTGTTGACGTCATCGGTCCAATCGGTCAGTCCAATCGGTTGGACTGGTTGACCTGTGACCCGGGCAGCAAAACGGGTTGCCCTTCGGTCCGGGTTTTAAAATAATGTTCACAGACGACAGATCTGACTTTAATCTCCAATATGTTATAAAATAACATCTCGGATATCTGTTGGTAGGAACGAGAACAAATCAAACTATAATATTTATCATGTCACCTATACAACTGACAGTTGATATAAATCGTTTTTTCCACAATGCATATGTAGGAAGCCTTTTTTTTTTTTTTTCTCTAGTATTTATTAGTGTATTTGCTCTTTCTTCCCTCTTTCTTCTTTTTATAGTCGAGATAGTTGCACGTAATGATAGATCATAGCCATGTTATTAAAAGCTTGTGATAAGAACGGGTTTCGTTATATTGCCCGAAAATAATATTCTAAAGCTTTTGTATGTTATATTATGTTATGCCTAAAAAGTTACGTTTATGTCATCTCAATAAATGTCTTTTTGTACTAGCTGTCAAGCTCATACCTCTTCAAAGATATTCATATCAACCTTATCTCATTTCAAGAGATGAGCGAATGAGAGCTCTTTATGTGTCAAGACAACTTGTAAAACATTCATTATATTGATCTCAAAGATATATAAATTGACACTTCTCTTTACGAAAGGAGAGGCTGGGCATATGAGAGTTAGACATATATTTGAGCTTCATTATTTCTCTGTGTAAGCAAAGTATCTCTTCATCTTTGTATGTCTTACGGGCAATATCATAAAAATAGTCAGTGAATAATAAAATAACAGTGGATGTAGGATTTGCTTTAAGCATTCGAACCATTATAAAAACCTCTTTTTTCAGCCTATTATTTATGTTTTCTGTAACATATATAATCTCAGCACTGTATTTAAATCTCATAGATCAATTGCGTGTAATTTCTAAGACTTTCTTAGCATTTTGCACATGCGAGTTGTTGGCGTCTAAAATCAAGCGTCAACATATTACCATAAATTAAAACGGATTAGATTAAAATAAATTATATAGAAGACTTTCTCGTATTATACACTTACAAACAAGCTTATCCATTATATGAGACACTTGGAATCCTAGGAGAAATGCCTTCAAAACTAAGTTAATTTAGAATTACAAGAGGCTACATTGTTGACTAGCTCAATTCCAGCTAAGAAAAAAAAAAGAAAGAATTACCTGAAAGTCTATTGTTCCCATCTTTTAACTAGTCTTCATTCGACAAAGAAAAAAATTATCTTCTTTCAAACAGAGATAGAAACAGAGCCACTTTTCACTTCCTGTTTCCAAATGTAAAGCACAAGTCCTAGCCATGGAATTTTTAGGATTTGTTATTCAACTTGTCAAAAGAAATTATGTGGAGAAAAGATAGCAAACGCCACTTGATTACAAGACCTTTCAGTCTTTTTCTAGTTAATGACTGATTGTGTATACATTACGGACATTTTGTCTTAGCCCGTGAGTTTTTTTACTAATTTTCTTTTGTATATATATATATTATGAATATATATTATGATGAAAATATATGTTGGAATTCTTTCTATTAATTTGTTAAATAGAGCTCAGGAATTTTCTTCGGTTTTGCTTCTTTTTTTTTTTTTTTTTTTTTTTTTAAATTTTTTCATTAACTTTAAGCACACTTGATGGAACTTGAGATTGTCGAGTAGCAAAATGATTAAGGCCGATGAAAACTTTAGGCACAGGAAGACTGGGTTATGAGTTTATGTTTTACCCACTGTGGTTGAAGAACTTAAATGTAATATATTTTGGTTTGCGTACTGGTGGTCTTTTCTTCAACTGCTGAGCTTTGAGTTTTGTGAATGCTGCAATTTTGTTAAGTGATCTGTTTTCTGTACTGTTGATTATGGTTGAACTCTACTTCATATGGTTTTCTTTAATGGGATATTTTATCTTTTTGCTTACAGGACTTCAACACTTCCTGCATTCTTTGTTTTTGGAAAGACCCCCATCAATGTACCCAATTGTGTGGAGAATCTATCAAAGAATGCTTTGGCAAATGAAAAACTATTTTGGTATGATTCTTTATGCGAGTTCCAATCTTTTTTATTCTGAGTGGACTTTCACTTTTATATGCAAAACAGGTGTCAGAGATGAAAATCAATGTGTTTCTTTCTAGTCCACATTTTAAATAGCATACTTTTTCTTTAGTTGTATTGAAATATTGCCTGAACAGCCTATACTTCTTTGTGTAATATTATGGTTTCTTTAAAGTGCAGGTCCTTTATGGGCTGGAGTACGCACATGCAATACCTCATATTAGAGAAGCCACTGAAAGAAGCATTGAGCTCTGATGTGTCGGACCTAAATTAGAAATCAATTATGCTAATGTTATGTGTAAGTTATAAATCCATCTGAAAATCATAAAAGTATAAATGAGCAGCTAGGGCTCTCCTGCTGATGATATTTCTGGTGCAGTAACTGGTACGAGGTATGCATTGGTGGCTTGACCTGGAATATTCCAGAGGGACATAAAATGGAGGACTACTTGCTTTTCTGGATTGGCTCTGACAATTCAGCTTTTGCAATGTCGTATTGACATTTAACAGTTCTGAAATAGGTAGATAATTTCTGTTTTTGTCATGAAACTTTTGCCAAATTTCTTTGATATTATTTTTTCATAATAACATCTCTCTCTCTCTCTCTCCTCTCTCTCTCCACTTTTTGTTTACTCTTCTGAATACTTTGACATAGAAAAAAAGCTGCTGCTTTACATTAATTAAATTCAGCAAAAATGTGGTGCACATCCTCATGTCTTCTGTTTAGCTGGCATTGATTCTTTCATTATTTACCTTGCATGTGGCTGAACTTGATAATGATTTTTTTTCCCTCTTCAATGGTTTTTGTTTGATGTGGGTAAGTGCTGGTTTTAGTCAGATATGACGCAGCAGAGGAGCGCTTGGTGACAGATGTATCTCACGGTTAAGAATTCTAAGCGTAGGTACTATTTGCAACAATTTCATCTTCCCCTAACCAACTTTACCTGTTATTTCTTGTGTTGCTGAAATTAATCCTATATTTTTATGTGAGAAATTAGATACATAATCTATCTCTACTTCTTTTATATTATTTATTTATTTTTTTTGCATTATTGTGTGATTCACTGTGTCAGCAACAATTCTTTCAGATATACTTGGTGGAGAAAGCAAAGGATGCTAACATTATTGGAATTTTGGTTGGAACTCTTGGTGTTGGTATGTTGAATTTCTATGATTCTTTAGTCTTTCATATGTTGCAAACAAATTGTGTAAGAATTGAACCATGGGCTTCTAAGTTTATGTTGTGCACAGCTGGCTAGGTAAATGTATATAGAGTAGTACTCGGGTCAATTTCATTGCTAATATTGTAATTTTGCTTCTTTGTTCATGTGCTTTTAATTGATTCTCTAAATAATCCTGAGAATGAAATAGTTGGCAATACCCAAGAACACTAGCAAAATAAAACTCGACTTGAGTCACAATTTCATTATTTGTACATTTAAGAAGTAGACAGTCTTCTTAGTGGACATTGTTAAAGTTAAAATTGATTTTGCTGTACTATAATATGTTCTTCTCAATTTTTTCTTGGTTTTAAACTTCATTTATGCTTAGGGTTTAATCGCAACTTCGATTAGTATCATGAGGTAGAGAAATAATTTTGCTACTATTTGATGAGCTGGTTACCTTGATATGATTCATCAGATGAAAGAGTTGATCACCAAAGCAGGGAAAAAGACCTATACTTTTGCTATGGGAAGACCAAACCCTGCAAAACTTGCAAACTTTCCTGAGGTAAGTCTTAATAGATGCACGCAGAGTGTCTGCCTCCGTGTTAAGAAAGTTATATTGTTAGTAATGACAAGTAATATATGTGGCAGTGCGATGTTTTCATTACTGTTTCTTGCGCTCAAACTGCTCTTTTGGATAGCAAAGAGTTCTTTGCTCCAGTTATAACCCCATTTGAAGCCATGCTGGCTTTCGGCAGGTACTGTATAAGATTCCTTTCTTCTCACCAGTTGCTGGAGTTCTTTGTTGTTTAATATAGCTTTTTCTTAATACCTAGAAGCACCATCTATTCATGATATAGATTCAAGTAATTACCCCTGAATTTTGGTTTCATGTTTTCATCCTTGGATTTTAAAGTTCAAATTTTATTTTTTTCTCTTTAGAGGCGTCAATGGACAGGAGCATATGTGATGGAATTTAGGGATTTGATTAGTTCTTCACCAGTTGAAGTAAGGAATCAGGCAGAAGAAGCAAGGTTTTCCTTCATTAGAGTGTAGATATGTGGAAGATACTGACCAGCAAGGTACGTGTCTCACATTTTGTTGAGGCTTTGAGATGGAAAGATTTGACTGTTCAGTGCAACACTAGGTTTCTAAATTCATTGAAGATTCCAGTAGACAATCTTATTTTTGTAAGTTTTGCATTTCTGAAAACTTTTGTGTTGTTTCAGAAACATTCAATGATGAGCAAGGTGAGGAAGGAGCTCTTGCTCTAGTAACTGCAGCAGAGAAGCTCTGCAATTGCGTGATGGAAATGTTAATCATCTC